CCACTGTGATTTATTTGGAGTTGGTACCAGAGTATTCACATCACAAGTCACGGCAGTCACGGTGAGACTGCCCGGGTGGGTTGCCACGTCAATTCTGGAGAGCCTCTCTCTTGCCAGCCCATTTAACTGGTTTCGCAGAGAGTCATCAACATGTTTTGATAAGATAGCTTTAGGAAGTTTGGGCACACTAAGTTACCAGCTTCCGCCACTTATGGCCTTGCATATGTCATGCCCTGGAGTCCGCAGACAACAGAGAAGGAAGTGTCCCAGTGTACCCACAATACAGACCATCTGTGACCCAGTATTGACCGGTCACAGAATGGGAACAATAACATTATTGGCTGAAACAGCCTGTGTCCTTAAAGGAGGTAAACAGACATCAAGGTTTGTCCTGTACGTCACATCTTGGCGTCTATGATAATTATTTCTATAACACCTGGCTTCTCCATAGTAATCCGGCGTGCCTCTGCCAGAACAGCCTCTCGCTGCTGAACCCTGGACGCTCCCAACCATAGATACGAGCAGTCATCCAAAGCAAAGGAAAACTCCAATAGCTCCTGCTCAAAAGGATCTGCTGGGCCCATATTCTGGTCGGGTTGTAATGTTACGGTGTGCAGGAATCAGGACCCAAATGCAGATATAACGAAAATAACTCCTTTATTTCAAGGCTACAAATATACAATAAACAGAGACAGAACGGAACACTCACCGATGAACTGGTCATTACACAAGACAACCCGACAAAGAGAGACAGAAAACCCAGAACTTAAATACACCCAGGACTAATCACATAAACACGAGACAGGTGAGGAGGGAGGAGAAAACACAGAGGCACCAGGTGAACACAATCGGGTAATCAGGGAGGGAAACAGACAGAAAGCAAACAGGCAGGAAACGGGGGTGAACACTTTACAAAATAAAACAGGAAACCCAAAGATAGAAAAAGACAAGAAAAACACCAACACAGACAGATCCTAACAGCAGCCTGGACAGATGGGCAGTAATTTCAGCGCCCCAGACTCGAGAATGAGTTTAAAATGAATTTGTTCACTGCATCACAGTATATATTGTCCCTGCAAGAATCCTCATCTTGTGCAGCAGATTCATTCTGTTGGATTAAGCAGATCCAGACGATACGGATTAGAACTCATGCCGGGATGAACGGCATGGTAAACACGGCAGGAAACTGGGTGTTGAGTATGTAACTGTTTTTCATTATGACTACGTGAGGATTTCAACAGGAGATAAAGAGTTAAAGTGTGTGGCTTAATATTTATAATCCTCATTCTTTATGGCTACTTTTTCAGTGTGTTTATGCAGCCTTTAAGAATAGGCTGATTCATGAAATGACATTAAAACAAGTGCAGTGTGAGAAAACGTTTTTAGAGAGTACTTGTCCATGGACAAGTGAGTTTGGCAATTTACATTTTTCACTTGGATCTTGTTCTTCGCCATCGTATTTTCCCACGTTTTTTACGACACCGTTAACGTAAGTGAGCGGTAAGATTTTACTGCATCACACATAGGGTTGGATATCGTTTGGATTTTAACGATTCCGGTTCTGCTTTTCGATTCCGGTTATTTTCGGTTCTCGATTCCGGTTCTTTGAGAGGGTAAAAATAAGTCAAACTGGGAGAAAAATATATTTATGAAAACATTAAGTCAAATCTGTATTCCTATTTACAAATCACTTCATACTGTTTAATTTCTTACAGTTATTGAATACAATTATATAAAAATAATCTCTGCATTGTTTAGTTATTCTAAGTGGTGCAGTTTGAGAATGTACAATTGGCCCAGTCTCCTCTGATGTTACACTGCAACCTGCCTGTGAGACAGAGTCCAACTACACATGTCCAACACATAGGGCATAATCTAATAATAATAATACATTATATGTATAGCCTATAGGCCTAGCACTTTTCTACAACTCAAATACGCTTACACATGTCCTGCAATACACATGCTGCAGCTGCCCAGCTGCTCACTGTTTGTAAAAGTAAATAAATAGTATTTTCATTTCAATAATGTACTTTCTATACCCTGCTTCATAAACAATACTGACATCCCTGTGCTCCTCCGAGTCTGGGGGTCCGGGGATGTGAGGACAGCGCGAGGACACAGACAGGGAGGCTGCTTCACTTCATAAAGGAAATGGCAGTCAATATTAACAACATAGGAGCTAAAACGCTTAAAGGTGGGGTAGGTAAGTTCGAGAAACCGGCTCGAGATACACTTTTTGTTATATTCCATGGAATGCTCTTAACATCCCGAGAGCAATCAATATCTTAAGTGCTTTGACAAAAAATCCATACAAAAATGTCATCTGTGGAAGCTGTAATACTGTAAAAAGCACGACCAATCCGTTTAGCCAGGCCGCCCTGTCTGTCAGCCTTCCATCTCGTGCACGCACAAATGTATCTCGTGCCCTCATTGGGCGTGCCGTAATTGGGCGTGCATTGCGCGTTCATGTGTGTTGGAGGAGGTGCTCTGTAAGGAAGTCTGAAGGAAGGGGCGGATTATTTTCGGCTGTGTACTTTCAAATTTTAGTGCACTCGAGCCGGTTTCTGAAACGTACCTACCCCACCTTTAATAACCTTCATTACGCGTTAGAGAAAGAACATAAGAAAGTTTGAAAAAGATGAGGCTGTTAAACGGGCAGCGGATCCGCTGTGTGTAGAAAGAGAGAGAGACGCTGAGCTGCACCGTGCAGCGATCAGCTGATACGGAGCATATGAGAGAGCTGCAGTCCGCGGGGCTCGGCCTCGCCTCCTGTCTTCACAACTCTTATTAATAGCGGTGCCGGACAATTGTTATTTGTTCCTACTCGGAACCGAGTTTTGCTTCCCAACCCTGCCACTGTGCTACACTTCCCGCCCCGCCCCGCCCCGCCCCCGTCTAACTGTACAGAAAGTGGCGAGATGCATTTCCTTAGGAATCGACAAGCAGAACCGAAACTAACATTTCTAAACGAACAATGGCGGTCACGTACAATTTGCCAATGAGTTCTGCCTTTTGTAAACTGAATGTATCAATAATTTGTCAATAAACGTCACTTGTCCGCCGGACAAGTAAATTGACAGATCTACTTGTCCGATATTGTAAATAACACGTCCCGGACGGTGGGACGTGTACTTTTTCGCACACTGAAGTGGCTGTTGCAGGGTCGGCTCTAGAACAAATCGAATGGGGGGGCAATCATTTACAAAGGGGGGGCACACACTGCCGTCAACAACCAACACACAAACACCAACGCAACTTCAAAAAACATGCTGTAAAGTATATTGTTTTTCACACCCATTGCAGGGGTGTAGTGCTATTGTATAGCGCACCTATGACCTGTGCATACATGCACGGTTGTGGCACGACCACCAAAACAGAAACATATGGACATAGGCCACCATACAAAAAGTGTGCAAATGTATTTAGTATCCTATCCATGTGAACATGTTTTAGGTGGGGGTGGACCTAACGTCCTCTAGGAGGGTCTGGGGGCATGCTCCCCCGGGAAGATTATTTTAAAAATATTGAAGTTAAAAGCATCAATCTGGTGCACTTTGAGAGCAAAATGAAGAGATCTATGGATAGTCTACATCTCTCAGCATCCATATGAAACAGAACTGTACACAGATTTACTTTTTCTTTATGGATATTTTACTAATCACTCCCCTTTTAAACTGTATTCTTGTGTTACTGTCCTATAGTATTTCATACCCGTTTTTTTATTTATTCTCTTATTCTTTAATAACTATAATGATCATATAAAGGTGTTTCTCGCAAATACTTGTTTACATAAATGGTGACCAAACCGTTTGAGACCCACTGAGATAACCTACACTAAAGTTAACTATCTAAACACTGAGAGAGTCCTTACCTCACTGAGCTGAGGTTATACGATCCTCTCAATCTGACAGGAGAGGACTCTCCTCCACCTTGGTGTAGAAACAGCTCTTTATATCCGTTAGCATAGCTAGCTAACCAGATCATGCTAACATCAACATTCCACGTTACCACTTGCGCACTCACAAAATGCGCTCGTGCCACACACACACACAGAGCCGAGCTTGAATGAAACACAGAGACCCAGAAGTAGGCTACTTGTACTGTACTGTATATCATATTATTTTCGATGGCTTTACTGTATAATCAGTGTAACAGATGAACAGATCGCCACCGGGCTTTCATCTGAACACACAGCCACGTAATGATAACAAAACAAAGGTCGGGGGTCATTGATCAAGCAACACACCAATCAGAGAGCAGCAGTGAGCACAGCTCAGGCTGTGTTTTAAATGTTGTATTCTTTATTTCTGACGTATTTCACACAAAAAACCTTTAGTGGAAACGCTTTCAATTATATGTTGTTGTTTTTTTAAACGGCACAGTGGCAAGGCTTGCCCACCCTGCGTTGGGGGGGCACAGTGACTCATTTGGGGGGGCATGGCCCGCGAATGACCCCCCATGACGCCGACCCTGGGCTGTTGCAGTAGTTCTTTTATAATATCTCTGCCAGTTTGCAGTGACCGTTTCTGTGTGCTGCTGATCTGCTGGTTGTGATCATTCTGCGAAAGGTTACTTCATCTAACACAGGGGTGTCAAACTCAATTTAATCGCGGGCCACATTAGCGTTATGGTTGCACTCAAAGGGCCGGTTGTAACTATATAAATATATAAAATAATATATTATATTACATTATTACTTGAACTGCATTGGATTATTATCGGATAGGGTAATAACTTCATCATTAGCAACGTCTGAAAGCAGAAATCTAGGGCAAATAATTGCAAGTCTCTTCAGTGCGCAAAATGATATGCATTGTGGGACATGTAGTTTATGGGCAACATGATTCTGTAAAGTGGCATGTGACCGTATAATAAACGTATTATATTATTTGCAAGCTCTTGCGGGCCACATAAAATGAAGTCGAGGGCCGGATTTGGCCCCCGGGCCTTGAGTTTGACACCCCTGATCTAACACTTACTGGAAGTCTGTTTCCTGATAGCTTAGAACTTTTATTAATTTCCTTTCATTCTGAGTTTACAAAGAAGACACTTAAGACAGTAATGGACTGATGTTTTGTAAGTGTGAAATACAGACACCAAAAACAAAAGGGTCTTTCTTGCATACATTTAATACCTTCATAATATTTGAATGTTTGAACAAACGTTTTTTTGCCTGCTTGACAGATTCTCAAAAAGGTCCTGTTTCTGTATCTGTACTACAATACAGTTAGGATAACAATAGCATCAACAGATGCCAAAGTGAACAGAGCTTTGGCCACATGGCAATGTTTATACACACATTATTTTCTGGAACTTTGTGTACCTCTGACACAAAAACAATGGCTGCATAAAATGAAAAAAGTTGTACAAAAGTTATGTATTACATCATTTCCTTAGTGGTTTACATTTATTATAAATGTACCATTTGCTTGCAGTACAAAGACTCCTTCAAAAGATCCCTTTGGGAACAACAATATGACTAATAAAACAAATCAAAGACATAATAGAAAACTGGTCTGTCGAGGGTAAAGACTAGACAAGCATGGCGGTAAACTTTTGACTTGATGAGTCCCTTCACTTTTCCAAATGTTAACAACATTCACTTGACAAAACAAGAACCTCAATTGCCCTCAGAGCAAACACATTCAAAACAAGTGGAGGATGAAAACAAATGTCTGCTAGGCAGGAACACGAGTCACAGCACTGGGAGAATCAGTGCTCAACAGCTTCAATGTAGTACCATGATGAGTGGGCGAAAAGACCCCAGGTTTCCTCTCAGAATAAAGAATCTCTTTCTCAAACAGCTTCCTCCCTCTTCATCTCTTTTCTCAAGATCAAGGGGAGCAAAGGGCAGGCAATTACCTGGTTGGCATTGGCAACCGTGTCATTATTTTTCTAGTGTTATTTACTTGACAACCACATTGAGAATGGCTCAAATCAGATTTGAGGGAGTGTGGAAAGTGGTTAAAAGTGGAAATGATAAACAACAAATCTCCCTAAAAGGGAATCATTGTGAATCGAATGGGTGAAAAAAGGTCGACCTCTCTCTGTAGGACTTTGTATTACTTTTTGTCATTGTCAAATTTGGCAAAGTAAATGTTCAGGATGTGAAGTCATAATATCTCAGAGGCGTCCTTTACATACCTAATAAATGTAATACTGTCATTTAAATCAAAATAAGACATTCTTCATTCTTAGTTTTATACTGCAAATATGAAGACATTTTCCCAACAAAGTGCTCAAGACCTTGGAAGATGGATGGGTTTGTTGGCTAAACCCTTAGATCAATCTTAAGAACATCACATAATAACACTTGAGTCATCCAAAGTTAAGGAACGGTTTGAAAAGGATGTTTTCCTTTGAGCGAACATAATACAGGAGCCCAGAACAAACAAAGGCTTTGATGATAAACATTGATGCTGCATGCTTAATCCTGTCCCTTCATTAAACACTGCTTACCCAGGTTTCCTGGATATTAGATTGCAGCCTGATACTAGAACAATTCCAGATTTATTTATTTTCATCTTAAATCTCAGTCCTTCTGATGACTTTGGTTTGTTGTTTGTGTCCCTCATGTGAGAACAATTTGGCTGTGAATATACAGATTCTTTTGTGCGACGCACCTCCTCTCGGAGAGCACAGACAGACTAAAATATTAGTGTTCTTAACAAAATATCTCCCCGCTGTAAAAACTTGTTATGTATATTGGCACTTTCTGCTACAAAAGGCATGACCTTGATCTGTAAGGGATTTTCTGGTTCTGAATTAAACAGTGAGTGTAGAGAAAGACAAAAAAAAGGCAGAGTATTAGCTTAGCATCTCATGTCCCGGATACATGGAGGATGCTTTGTGAGATTATCGGCCCACAGAAGGGGCCACAGGGAGGCCAACTGACAAATAACGGATGAGACAAAAGAACATGTACTATAAACAAACAGAGGAGGAGACCACAGAACGATGCCTGTTGACACAATCAGAGAGAGGCCTTCAAAGCTGAGCCGAACTGACTCATGCCTCTGCTGCTGTGTAATGGCACAGCCACACTACGGCTCCAAAGACTAAAAGGCAGGGGGAAAACTAAAAGTAACAAACAATCTAATGACAAAATCATAAAAACCCATTCATGAAAGTATATAAAATACAAATGTAAACTGATTAAACTTAAACATCCCTCCCGTTCCCCTACAATGGTAATACAAAACAAATAAAATTATAGTGTATAATGAGTAAAAAATATTAGATTTTTTTGTCTAAAAATACATAAACAGACAGCGGTGGGACACTAACACTGACCTCGGAGGAATGTCTACCAATCACAACATTTAAGGCAGCCTAAGGCCAAAGGCCACAATGATACTTTCCTTTGGTATATTTGGTCTAAGTAGATTTTTTCAACACTTTGGCATGCTGACATACTTTGCACTTTATTTTTGTGGTGCCCTAAACTCACTGGTAAGTGCTGACATTTGGTTTTGGTACAAAATGCAACTGTGCTTTTAGTCAATACAAAAAATGCATACTTAGTATTTCAATCTAAGGAATCAGGCTCTCACAGGCAAAATTCTAGTATTATTAAAGTGCATGTCACTGATACTACAGCATAATACAAATGCAGGTAGTATCAATGTGTAAAATGATTGTACTAATCATTCTGCCTGTTCCCTTGAACAACAAGTAGACCGAAATACTGGACAGTACCCTTCATCAACAAACCTTCATATAAAAATGCTCCAAACAGACTCAATGGCTCTATAAGGAGTGAACACTGAACCTCATGTATCTGAGAAATCCCTTTTTGTTGGCACTTAAGGTAAAACTATGGCTTTTTTTAATATATATAACTATATGGCAACGACAACATTTTGAACAGTCTTATTTCAGCTGAAGGAGGGAAGACAGCCACTGGAACCTGGGCTCTGAGGCACAGAAATCACTGGAGGTCGGTCTCCATGATGGACGGTTCTGGGACGGCCTAGAGGCTCTACCATCGCCCGCTGATGCTGGCCATGTCTGCGTGAAACTGGCGGGAGAGGCGGCCGCTCGCTCCCCCTTCCAGGAAGGAGGACCTGATGGGTGGCTCAAATAGCTTCCTCCCGTTTTTATTTAGTTCTGTGTGGTAAGAAAAGAGCACCAGAAATCATCAGCAGTAGCAAATGTTATACAAACAAGTTTTACCAACCTCTCCTACTGTTGCAGGGAGCTGTAGCAAATCAAAGTTAAACACAATGAAAGAGTATGTTAACATTTCCATTCATCAACAATGACAAGAAAATTGGATGCAAATCACTACAGGACTGCTCAGATAAACAAAAGTAAATCTGGGTTTTACTCAGCAGACAAAATGCTTTCATAAAAATGTCTCGTCATGGCATCTCTGAGTTATTCACATGATACCTGCGTTCTGTCGCTGCCAGCATAAACCTTCAGTCTGATTACTGGAGACAGGCAGCTCGCCCCAGCGCTCTTTTTACTGGCAGACCCGCAGGAAGTTAAAACCTGGATTGAATTGACTGGTATTGTATCTCTTTATAATAAGAGGCAACACAGTATGAATAAGAGACAGACAGAGGCATGCATGTTCATGGTTTGGAGCCCCAGAGTCCGTCAGTGAGATGAAAGTTGAGCTGCACTTGGCCGAGGCGTCAGGCAGCAAAACCAACTCTGGCCTTGGCTCGTACGCCTTGTTAATAATTACAGGACCGGCCTCGCTGTTTCCCCCTGTTGTCCTTACTGTCAACTCTGGCTCTGGTCTGGAGTTTCTGAACTTTTACTGAATATCCACGACAGGAAGCTCATGATCCCAAGATGAGTATGATTAATTTACACAGCTTAACAACCTCAGCTATTACAAAGTCCGAATGACATCAGTAATGACGTGTGACACCCACAACATTCCCATTAGATCCGGAACAACAGGACAGAGTCTGCATCAGGGAGGCAGCTGGAGCAACTGCAGGAACACCAACACACTCATCTGAGAAGAATGAGCCCTAATCCCATGTATTCCTGCCGGTATAAATTACTGCATTGGTTCTCTTGTATCATTACAGATAAATGAGCTACAACATTCCACATTGTATTTCTCTACTAGTCTGCCAATAACAAAGGCCACCTCTAGCTTTCAGATCTAGCGCTTGGCAGTATTGATGACCTCTGTCAGTTGGAGCCTTCCTCACAGCTGGGCTCCACTCCCGCTCGTTGCAGCGACAGACAAAATAGGAACATTAATGAAACACATAAGCCAATTTGTGTGAAGTGCCTCCAGCAGGAGCCGGTAGGATGTGACTCCAGCTGCTATCAGTACTTATCAGCAACCAAAAAAGGAAACGTTTCCCCACAGAGCTGGTCTCATGCAGGCCTCTCTGCACTGTATTTTCCTTTCAATTTAGGTTGTGCCAGACAGTTGATAACAGAGAAAAACAGGCAAAAGGGGCGATATACAGGACACGAACACACACTATTTTTACATCTTTGACTATAAAATAAATATAAGTTCAGTATATTAAAAAAAGGCAAATAATTGTCAGACCTAAAACAAAGTCACTGCCAGACTGTATAGATGTGTGTATTTTCAACCATAGAATAGGCTAAAATAATGTTAACATCATTTAAACGCCGTGTAATTTGCTTTTGGTTTGAATAAAAAGGGATTATGAAGCTATTTTGTGGCACTCAAAACAATTGATTATTAATATTATTTAGAATTTTCTAAAATAACAATGTTCTGGGTAGCTTAAATTAATAAGAATGTTAGGATAGTCATATATAAGCATACCGCTTCTGCATGTGCCCTTTTAGTCACATTGTATACACGATTGTGTTTTGTACATGTATTTATACTTAGTGTATTTTGTGCGATTGTAGGTACCTGAGATGGCGAGCAGCATTTTCCTGCGGGCTCCGAAGGTGGTGATGCCCAGTTCCTTCAGGTCCTGGTCCGTTAGAGTCAGGAACGTCTGGAGGTCGATCTGGAAGCAGCAATAAGTCCATTTAACACTACTATTTCCCAAATTTGGCAAATTCATGTTGTTTTGCAACCCTAAAAATACCATGATGAGTCATTTTATTACAGCATCAATTATGGCAAACCCATTCAAGCACATTCCTTAATTTCTTTCTAATCATTCATTTCTGTAAGATTTACAGTATGATACATTCATTTAAACATTACAGTATAATGCAACTTTCTGCACTGAGTGAGATTAAGAGTTCAAGAGGGCAATGCACTCTAGACCAGGGGTGGGGAACCTCCGGCCCCCGGGCCGTATACGGACCGCGAGACCATTTGGTACGGCCCTCGAGGTAATTTATAAACACATGCAAAAAAGAAAACAATTAAAGAAATCTAGACCGCAAAAGAATGAAACAAGCGAGTGCCTATTTTTCCTGGCCAAGGTTAGGGTCCTTGAACACAACACGACAAAACATGTCATCACGTGGTATATGTCTCGTCTGACGGAGAGCACCAGAACGTCGCTCCGTCACTTCAGAAATTGTAGTACCCATAAGGAGCCGTACACATGCCGCAGTTTCTGCGTGTCTGTGTCTTTAGTTGAAAGCCCAGTGGCGTCATACTGATGATCATACAGTCAATAACTTTGTTGTTATTAGCATCTGGTTAGCTAGCTATGTTAACGAATATAAGAAGCTTTTTCTCCAACCAGTGAGGTAAAGGCACATCTTTATATGATCATTATAGTTATAAAAAAACAAGAGAATAAAGTAAACAGGTATAAAATACTATATGACAGTAAACAAATTTAATAAACAAGAATACAGTTTGAAAGGGGAGTGATTTGTAAAATATCCATAAAGAAAAATAAAATCTGCTTACAGTTCTGTTTCATATGGGTGTTGAGAGATGCATAGATCTCCTAATATTGCTCTCAAAGTGCACCAGATTGATGCTTTTAACTTCAACATTTAAAAAAAAAAATACATTTGCACACATCTTGTGTCCATATCTTTCTGTTTGGTGGTCATGCCACAACCGTGCACGTGCATGCATGCGCGAGTCATGGTAAAATATCTGGATTAAGAGGTTGCTTTTTCTTTGCACAGCATGAAAGAAAGGCCAAATGAATGGGCTGTGATTTTGGTATTTTTAAGCAGAGGTCAATCATTTGTACGGCCCTCGGAGGATGTTGAAACAATTGAAATGGCCCTTGAGAGAAAAAAGGTTCCCCACCCCTGCTCTAGAAGCAGGAGGAAGGGTAACCTTTCCAATAAAATGTGCAAATGTAATGGGAATTTCTGCTGTAGCAAATTTCAAAGCACTCTATCTAATTGTGGACTGAGAGGCTGAAAAACACCGGAATATCTTTGCTTTTTTGGAAGATGGCATTGGTTCAAATCATAACACTGTAAAAATTGGGTGTTCGTTCTACAGTACCTCCTGTTGCTGGAAGATGTCCGTGTACTTCCCCAGGCCCAGTTTGCTGAAGAGCTCCGGCAGGTCGGAGCCCTTCACAGAGGAGTTCAGGCTGCAGCCGTTGCTGCCGGTCACAGAGGAGATGCAGTCCATGTAGCTGCTGCTGCTGCTGAGGTAATGCTCTGCAGCTGTCCATCAGGGGATTGAGGGAAACATGAGAAAAACACAATGATAATATGGAAGTTAGCAGAGAAGCAGAAATGATTTATCAACACCTCAGCAATCGCATTTTGAGTCACACAATGAAACAAAGAAAGTTTAGCAAAAAGTAATCCCACCATTTAAATGAGTAAACAAATGTAGACCTATGTATAAGTCTACAAACAATATTTAATATGCTGCAACTTTAGATCGATGAGACTAATACATCTCCTGTTATCTTAGGTTGGTAAAACGGAAGATTTAAGGAAGATTCGCAAAACCTAAACTTAACAAATAGTACAACAAAGGACTGACAGAGGTACCTGAATCAGTCAAACCATTAGGGTGCTCATACTGAATAGTTCAGATATCAAACTCAAAATAAAAGGAAAAACTTGACCTTTTCACTTGAATCTTTGGAGTCTCTCTGTGAAACAATTTTTCCCATCAATGCCAAAACTGCAATAACATATTCTGTTGCTGTAAGCCAGGGGTGTCAAACTCAATCACAGAGAGGGCCAACATTAAAAACTGGGAGTACGTCGAGGGCCAAACAGGGTGAACATTTATTGAAAAGGGTATTGGATAAAGTGAATATTTATCAGATACATATTAAGGTACACTGTAACAAATTACTGTACAAATAGATTGAGTTTGATACAGTAATTACTGTTAACCTAAATTAAATACTGAAAACTGTAAATGTTCATGACTTGAGGAAAAACTAAACAGCAAGCTACTATGCAAAATAACGTTTTATTTTCAGATTAAACATAAAGGAAATTCTCAAAAGGCATAAAATATAGTAGGTTGCTGTTTTTTCTCAAGGTAGAACAAAGAATAATAATAAGAGGACATCACAGTGCTGTATTAGTTTTACCAGTAACAGTTGTAGATTAGAGTAAAGGTGCACTATACAAAAGCAGTTGGTACATGTAAATGCCAAAGTTTATGCACATGAGCCAGATATTTGGCATCTTTTCTTGGCTGCCAGTTCGTTAATGTCTGGGGCTAGGTTCTGTGCTGTGGAAACCCTCAGGATGGAGTGAAGGTGTGCATCTGAGAGACGACTCCTGTGGGGGCTTTTGTTCATCTTCATTACAGAGAAAAGCTGCTCACACAGGTATGTGCTTCCAAACATGCAGAGCATTTGAGCGGCATGAAGGCGGAGTTGAGGCATGGTTTCAGGGAGGAAGCTTGGAAACTGTGATACTTTGCCTTGAGTGTGTCATTACACGAGGTCAATCAGCTCCATTTGGATGTTCACAGGTCCACTGTCCACGTCAACTGCAAACGGGTTGCTGAGCAGTTCAAATTGACATCTCTGAGCTGCAAAGTCGGAAAATCTCAGTTTGAACTCCGTGCCAAGTGCGCTCAGTTTAGCAGCAAAGTGCGCAGTCGGGAGAACAGCGGTGGACACATCGCTTGACAGTGCTTGGCAACACGGAAAGTGTCCAAAGTTTCCTTGCTGCATCTGAGTCTCCCATAGGCGCAGCTTTGTTTGGGATGCTCTCACTGCGTCATACATGTCCGTAATGACACGGCCCTGCCCCTGAAGCTGGAGGTTTAGCGCATTGAGATGCTTTGTTGTGTCACACAGAAAAGCCAGCTCATATCGCCACTTTTCGTCCCGGAGATCTGTGGTGTCTTTCCCTTTGCTTTCAAGAAATGTGCAGATTTCCTCACGTAGCTCGAAAAATCTATTCAGAACTATTCCTCGACTTAGCCATCGCACCTCTGTGTGATACGGAATGTCGCCATGTTCGGAATGCATTTCCTCTAGAAAAGACTGAAACTGTCGGTGATTTAAGCCTCTGGCTCTGATAAAGTTTACAGTCTGTGTTACGGTGCTTATGACATGATCCATATCAAGAGCTTTACCACACAGCGCTTCCTGGTGTATTATGCAGTGATACACTGTCAGATCACCGGCACAGTTCTCCCGCTGCATCTTCTCCCGCATCCTCCCCACCAATCCGTTCTTTTCACCGCGCATCACAGGCGCTCCATCTGTCGTCAGTCCCGTCAGTTTGTCCCAGGGCAGTTTCAGTTCATTGACACATTTGGACACTTCCTCAAAGATGTCTTTCCCCGTGGTTGTGCCATGCATAGATTTGATCCCCAAAAGTTCCTCTGTAACACCTAAACTGGAGTCTACTCCACGGATGAAGATTGACAGCTGCGCTGTATCTGTCACATCAGCGCTCTCATCCACGGCAAGGGAATAGCCAACGAAGTCTTTCCCCTTGTTCATTAACTGTGTTTTTAAATCGTTGGCCAGCTCACACACACAATCAGCAACAGTATTTCTGCTCAAGCTTACACTTCAAAATGCTTGCTTTTTGTGTGGACACATGACTTCGCACACTTTTATCATGCACCGCTTTACAAACTCTCCCTCTGTAAACGGCCGGGCTGATTTAGCTATTTCTTCGGCCACAATGAAACTTGCTTTCACGGCAGCCTCACTTTGTGATTTGGCTTTTTTGAACAAAGTCTGCTGTGATGCCAGAGTCTTTTTGAACTCCTCCACTTTCTGCTGTTTGTCCACTCGCCTGTACTTGTCCTGGTGTTTCGTCTCATAGTGCCGCCTGATGTTGTATTCTTTAATAACGGCCACGCCAGATCCACAAACCAGACAAACTGGTTTACCACTTATACTGGTAAACATATACTCTGACTCCCACCTGTCTTGAAAGCCCCTGTTTTCAGAGTCCACTTTTCGTTTGGCCATTTCATTTGACAGGCTAATAAAAATGTAACTAGAAGTGACGAGCGTAGATTACTTCTGACCTGTGATGAGTACAATAGAAAGAGAAGGTGAATCTCCCGCGCCTGTGATGTCAGTATCAGCGGTTTGCGCACCGGCGGGCCAGTTGTTATATGATGATTATGACATTAGATATATTATCTCGCGGGCCGGATATAATTGTACTGCGGGCCGGAAGTGGCCCACGGGCCGTGACTTTGACATGTCTGCTCTAAGCAGAGGATGCTTACACGGTTTGCAATGCCTGATGTGCACGTTTGGCATATTAGCATGAACACAAAAAGTACTGACCAGATTTGTTCTGCTTCCTCTTGGGGCTGCTGACAGCGAGGGGGAACTCGGGGTGACCCGGCAGGCCGCTCAAGCCCCCAATCCTGTCTCGCCAGTTCTCAGAGTCGCTGCCGTTCCCGAGGCCTTCCCGGCTGTTGGATCGAGACAAGGACAGCGGGGAATCCTAAGAGAGAGAATAAAAGGAAGACAATTCAAACCAAGAGTTCCGAGTGACTACACTGCATCTCATTAAGGGGCACAACAACATATACCTAAATTGTATAAGGTAAGACAAATAAAATCTATGAGATGAAGAGAACAGTAAACACTGCCTGTCTGTGAGTCTCACCTCGAAGGTGGTGCTCATGCTGGGCTTGTAAGAAACGTGATTGGCTCTCCGGAGCTCCTTGATGGTCTCGGCTGGCATGGACTTTGAGAAGCCCAGACCACTCCAGGTGTTGGTGGGGGTCCGCACCTCGGTCACCACGGGCTTCTTTAACATAGCTGTGTAAAAACAGACATATTGTGATACAATAAAAAGATATAACACAAAATAATATTTTTTGTAAATCTATCCTGAATTCACTGTATGCTTTTAAGCATTTAAATGTTGTCCATGTTGCACAGTATAGACTGCTTACACTTTTTTTTATCAATACAAATATTAGGTAGGAAGTCTTTCTGGCGTCAATGGGCAAAACATTCCATAATACCCTTTCAGCATACTGTAATTAAAGTGGTCTGAGAAAAACTAAACTTCTGCACCTCCGATGAGCTCTGTTTTCTGTCTTAAGAAAATGTAGCCCATGACCCTGACATTTGGTCATTACAGAGAGAGGGTGTTCCTATTGGCACCAAATGCACATACAAGTCCCAGATGGTGAAAGCCTGATAAAATGCCAGAAAATCCTGCAGAAAAAAGTTTATTTTCCAGCATTAACAACAACTGCCTACACAGCAAAGCAACTCAAAGAAGTTAAGAGACAGGGGAGAGCTGCAGGGGGAAAGCTACAGTTTTCAGCCGTTTGTCTTTTCCAGGAAACTGTTTTTTTTACAAACTTATACATAATTCACAGAGCATCTTTGGAAGCCTAGGAATGTTAACTTATTTTGGTTTTGTATGTTTAAATAATAGAACCACTACCATTTAGCTATATATACACAGGATATATATATATATATATATTATACAGGATATATATGCCGTTAAAAACTGTGCAATATATACCTGGCTGCTAAATCCTCAGAACTGTTACAGGGTGTGTATTTTGTAAAATGTGTAACTTATTTTTATCTTTAATACTTTGTTATGCATGCTTTAGGTAACATTAAGCTTGGCTCTTTTCTGCTGTAACAATGTAAATGTACCCTCTGTGTTCTGTCTTCACACAAGGCCCATCCAGTCATTACTAATCACATTGTACTATTTGACACAAATGTCAACTTACCTTTGGTTGCCAAGAGCTTTTTCTGTTCATAGTCAAATTCCTGAAAAGAGAGCAGAACGTTTTATTCTTTGATTACTTTTTATACCCCATAACTCTTTATTTATGCTGTGCGTGTTTGATGTGTGTATACCTGCATGTTGGGGAAGGATGTCTGTGGTCCCAGTCTTATTCTCTCTCTCTCGTTCTGCTGCGCCGCCCTCTCGGCCGCCCGCTCGCTGCCCGGCGCTCTCTTATCGGCCACAGGGCTGTCCGACGAGCTGGACTCAGCGTCCGAGAGCAGACAGTCAGAGCTGGGGGGATTACACAGGATTATTGTATCAGAGAATGAGGAAAATCTAGTCCTTCATCTCATCATCTCCTCACATTATCACTAAGGCTATTAAAGCTCCCGGGTCATCAGGTTTTAGAGCGTACTAGTTTTCATTATTGGGATACAGTTGATTATCCTATCCGGGGTGAGTGTGTGTAACCAAGTCAATATAACAGCCCATACTCCTAAATCTCTATATATAAGAAAAAAATAACCTTTTCTGTCACTTTGTGTCATCTTCTAGTTTGTTATGATAGGCATGTGGGTGCTCCGCTTTCATAAGAACATGATAGCCTTGATATTTGGGATAGGAGGTGATCAGCAGATAAGCTAGGAGCTACATTTGCTTTCACTAGCCTCTGCATTCTTAGGGGCTGAATATAATCTTTGAACATACTCACAACAGATGCAGACTAATGTGTGTCTATACTACATTTGAAGTCTGAATTCACTGAAATGTTTTACACATGTTTCCTGGTTGGAACAGCCTGCATGTTGATTCATTTCAGGGTGCATGTGGCCCTGGTTTTGTGAGACTAAAATACAAAGTATGCTTGGTTTGATTCTAATAAGTGCAATTTCGTAGAGAAGATGCTAAAAAGCAACACTCCAAGCTGTAAATGCTCTCTATATTCAGACATACTGTAGATGGGAGTTCTTGGTGCCCTGCAGTAGCTCCACCGCCTGTCTTTTCCCTGATGACGTCTTACAGGAAGCCAGCATCTGTTTCAGCTCATTCCCATTGGCTGAGTGAGAGGGGCTTCTGGGCATGCCCACTTCCACAAATGTGTCAGAGCCTGAAGGAAACAAAACATACTTTAATATAAAAAATGAATTTAAGATACAAAGTCCTATGACAACTATAGCTTAATACTTTTTTCATCTATTTAAAAAAAAAGTTTGCCAAGCACTTTTGCCACCGTTGACAAAAAAATCCGAAATCAACATTTAAATGCTGCGCAGCATTTTTCCTTCTATTTAAACCCAGTATTTCTACACAGTTGCATCTAAAGATCATGTAACCCACGGTTACTTATAGTAGAGAGGTCTGATTGGAACTGATTGATTTAAATATTTCTGTGTTCAGTACTTAACTCGGTGCTAGTGTTACAATCAGGCTTTAATAAAATCATTGGTATTGTATTACATTAATTACATTCCAGTAGTGACCGGATAGTATGCTTTAAATTGTGTGATTGTTTCCAATAACTCCAGGGTGTTGCAGTGTCTAAAATTGAAATGTACTGAAAAAACCAAGATGTAATTATTTCCAAAGCTCACATGGTTTTATCTAAAAAAGTTTTCACTACTGTCAAATAAATGTTTGCTACCCCGCTTGACGCACACAGAAGCGAGGCATGCGCTGGCGAAAAGATATTTGTTATTTGTAAAAATATTTGTAATAGTTGATTTAATAAACAAATACTAATTGAATCCGATGAAATACTGTATTCCAATTGAGTATTTATTATTTAAGGGAAGTCATAATGTGAAACTTCAAATGTAAAATAAGAAAAACATCATTCGATACAGTGTGAGTCTGTTCTGAGTGATGAGTGATTCAAAGGAGTGTGTGTAGCTTGGTGGGCATATGTACGTCTTCATGTGTTTAAGTGTCACAGGTACCAGTTGGATCCTGGATTAATTAAAAACACAGCAGCTGTAATTACAGTGGTCCCTAACCCCTCCCCCACCAATTGACTCTGTGTAACAGGATGTGAGTGTATGCTGAATGTGCATGATGTACTGCACAGTGTAAAATAATATGATGTCAGTCAATCTAACAAGGCTCTCTGGGGTTTAATGTTTTAACGGTTCCCCCTGCACTCCCTCATTCCACAGAGCGGAGTGGAGTCGGACTGGGCGAGCCAGTCCAAACACATTCTGGGACACAGGGGGAGGAAAGGGAGGGGGAGGAAACCTTACCGGGACACACCGCATTGGGGGAGGACCAGCTCAGAAAACAGCGTGGAAAAACGAGACGCGTGAGAGGGAAAGTTTGAGGGGAAAACCGCGAGTGTAAGACACGGAGGCAATGAGGGCCTTTCTGAACCACTAGGAGACCAGCAGTTCATCCGTCTCCGTTCCAACTCAATAAATGTAGTCGGAGGGAGAATGAGGTTAGGAGAACAGCACAGAGAAATTGAAATAAGTTAATTTAAGGAATTTCTCTCTTAGTGGGTTTAAGGGTTACATAAATCTCAAGTGGAAAAGCGTAGATTGGACATTTATGTAAAGTCTGCACGATCGAGCAGAGTCAAAAATGTTGACAGCTCAAAAATATTGTCAGCCCAAGGTTCCACTCAGAAGTGGGCAAGACTCTTCTATAAGTAGAATGTTACAAATAACTTCTTAAGAGAGTTGAAAGTTAGACCCCAAAAAATAATTGCCACAGAAAATAGTTAAAATCCAATTAATCTTATATTAAAATATATTTGAAGTGTTTAAATATACTGGCAGTCACTTAGTTATTAAGACATTTACAGGTGATAGGCATGTGGTTACTCTGCCTGCATAAGAACAGGAAAGGTTTCATATTGTGGATAGAGGTGATTATCAGATAAGATAGGAACTACATGTGCTTTCACTAACTTCTGCATTCTTAAGGTCTAAATATAATCTTTAAATATACTCACAACGGACACAGACTAATGTGTGTCCATGCACTAAAATGTTTTACAGATGTTTTGTGGTTTGAACAGCGTGCACAGGGCTGCACGGGGGCTTTGGCAACAGGGGCGGGTGACTCAAAACCTTTAGATTAAGTTATTTTAGCACAAACAATATCACACCTACTTTAGTTTTCTGAAAATATTCTGATATAAAAGAATATAATTTTTTATATAAAATAAGAGCAAATACTGTAGTTGGGCCGCAAAAAAATGCAACAACCACATATTATTATTAGTTGCAGGTTGGTTCAGAGTTGCTTAAGAGGAATACCTTCATCTGGGCTGGACTTGCTGGACCGCGGTTCTGAGGGATTGTGTCCGCTGGCCTCCTGGACAGAGTCACATGGCGCCGGACTCAAAACGGTTTCTGCAATTGACGCAGTTGCTATCCTCCCATAGACTGAGTTAGCATGCTATACACGAATGCACACATGGACATAAACATACAGAGCAAAATACATACAGGACAAATGAGATTTACTGAACAAAAAAGTGAAAAATAATATTGCCGCATACAGGGAATAAAGGAGCCAACCTTGACATGTCCATTAAGCGTGCAGGAGCCCTTGCAGTCAGGGACCCCGTTGGACTGTTTGTCTATGGGGGCGAGGCCAGGCGGGGGGGAAGGTGTATTCTGTGTGTAACCCTGAACGCCTGACAGCAGGATGCTGTTCAGCGTGGCCTGGGCTGCAGGGTGCAGCATCAGCTGAGAGGAGAAGCCTGACAAACATAAGCGGTGCAGAATGTTACATTAACCATTAAAACGTTAAGATTTGTACAAGGGATATGTATGATAATCATTGATACCTGTACATGACTGCCTATTGTCTATCTATCTAACAATATGAAATAAAATAAAACAATATCAATTATTGAAGTTATATTTGTGATTTGAGTATTTCCACCTTAATATAAGAGTAATTCAAACAAATGGACGAAGACTGACTCACAGTGAACAGTTGGGAAAATGGGAAAACCCATGCAAATTTATACACATCTTATACAAACCTTGGGTGCTGGTGAGCGAGCTGGGCCAGAGAGAGGGGGAGTGTGTGGGGGTGCTGGGGCTCGGGGGCTGCAGGGGGCTCATGGAGGAGTTCAGGCTGTTGAGGAGGGCGTTTGGTGCACCAGAGTTGGCCAGGGAGTGGGCCGCCGCACCAAGGAAACCTGAGGAGAACAGAAAGCAAGGGGAGAAAGGGGAGATGAATAAATCAGTGGTGGGTCCTGTCAAAGCACAGAGACATTTTTCAAGCTAATCACATGTTACAATACGTCCTTCGAAAAAATAATCGCGGTTTCCCAGCTATTTAACAGGAATTCCATCAAACTGTCATCAAGCAGACAGCAAACGAGGGAAGGAATTTCTTAGATTTCTACAAGGATGCGAAAGTATATATCTTGCGTGTCCTCATGCCCAAAAAACCCATGTTATTGAGAGCACCAACAATGTGGTGCTCGGTGTCTCGACCCAAACACAGTGTAAGAAAACAGAAAGAAGCAGGTCTGTGGCTTTAACAAAGGGCTAGTTTGGCTCCAGGAATAAGGCTAGGGCTTCTTCTGGCTTTCTCGCCTGTAATCTGAGGAAAAGAAGCATGTAGCAATTACTAAAGGCAAGGATGTGGTCGTCCACAGCTTCTCCCCGGGCCCCTGGGTTTAAACGAGATGGCGAGAAACCTACTGTACTGGGAATGCATGGCACATTGTTGTTTTTGTTGCCAATTGTATATCTATTTAATTTTCCTACCACAGTAAATGGGGATTTGAAGGACATAAAATAAAGGTTATTTGAACAATATCATAAAATACCAGCACGCAAGGTCATACAATCTGACAAAACGTGCCAAACTCCTGTAAAAAATCGTTGATTTCAAGAAAACCCTCAACACGATTAAAGATCTAATATCAGTGCCTACTCACCCCATATGCCCTACATACGTATAACCTCATGGCTGCAGACATTACATTAATAAAAAGAAACAAAGATAATATTGACGATATTAAACTCATATTCTCTCAAACATCGAAAGGAAATTCCTAAGTCACATCATGTAGAGTTGCTCTGGCTAGCATTTGATGGTAAAGATATACAAAACAAACAATTTATCTTCAAACAGATAAAAAGTGATGGATCTATTGCTGGCATGTGCCATGAGCTACTTCCTGTCAGCTTATTCCTCTATCTTCTTCTCCTACTGCCTTGATGCATAATTCATCACGTCCTCATTTCCATGTTTTGAAAGTCTGGCCAAAAAACACGCATCATATGAAAACTGAAAGCAGATAACTTGAGATAAATATTTATCGTATATAACTACTTATACTGAAATCAAATTACAAAAAATGCAGTTCCCAGCTGAACTCTGCGTCTTCATATTGAGGTCAGCGCTGCAGACAAACAAACTCCTACGTGAGTTATAACCGTTCGTCATCCTATGATTCATGGTTTTGCAATTCATTCACAGCGGATGCAACTACATTTGTATCAAGGTTATTTTGAGATGGTTGGCTGATCAGAGATTTGCACACGTAAAATTCATACTATCATAGTGAGCTCAGTCCTGCAGACATCTCCTACTGTAAAGCACATATCGATGATAATGCTAAACCCCGTCGGTTGTGATTTATGTACATGTTGAGAGGATCTTTTAACCTTCCATTTAAAAAATGACTTGTGTTAACCAGGCGATAACAGGCTTTGAGGAGATCTGGCTCACAGATTTCTAAAATGGATGTGTGTGTGTTGCTGGTACACCTGTGAACGACAATGATGTATGAGGACAATACTTCCCATACAAAGACAGTTCATCTTTAATGCATTTCTTGCAAGGACAAAAAGATGGGGCCACTTCTTATCTTTCCTCACTAGTTTATCTTTTCCGTCCACCGTGGAAAAAGTAGGAGAAACTCAAGTAGCAATTTATTAACAAGTTAGGAAGTGTCATTACCCAGATTGCTCAGCCCCAGGCCAGCTGAGGCCAGGATGTCCAGGCCGACGGGACAGATGAGGGACGGGAGGTTGGTGGCGGGATTCAACGCCACAGAGGGAGAGGAGGACATCACCCCGTTGCTCTCCAGACCCAGGAGGAATTTTCGGGCTTCGTACATGTTCACTGCATTCCTCTCCACACTCTTGACTATCACCGACTGAGAGGGAGAAGAAAGAGATGATGAATAAAGAATAAAAGACAGGTGGAGTGGACAAGGAAGTAAAGAGGAGAATAGGATGGAGCGAGGGGGGAAAAGAGAAGGAGAAAAGGAAAAACAGGGGAGGAGGCGGAGATTGATATGGCGGGGGAATGTTGGCAAAAGAGATAGGGAGAAAAAGGGAGGATGTTGGGGAGTCAAACATTAAGGGGAGGAAGGAAGAGGGAATTAGGGTAGATTGAAAGGATACACATCGAGGCAGTGTGGGGGAGAGAAGGAGACATGGGAGCTAAAGTGTTCCTTAATTAATAGCATAACAAATCATATTCCGCTAATTGATACCAGTGAGGAGAATATGAGACAGATAATCAATGACTATTATACAAGGCGGCATTTAATCAGTATTGAATAATTATAAACAGGAAGGATTTGAATCAGTGAGAGAAATTACTGAATCATTGTATGCATGGTTTCTCAATTCTCACCACAGTAGTGTGTTGTGGTTAAAACAAATATTTTAATCTCTTTAATTTATTGTTTTCATTTAAGAGGTTTAAGCTTTATTGTTAGATTTCGGTTTAAGTTGTTATCGCTTCATTTATTGAGCATTTTTGTTTTGTCAGTGTGCGGCAGTATGATCTGTAAACCATTCGAAAAAACTGAATAAAACACGAAAAAAAAAGTTGAAATTAAATGACTTCTACATTTTCCACATGAGTAGAAACCTCACCCTTTATAAACATTACATAAAAATAAACGTGAGCACAAATCATGCCCTGTTTTTGTTTTGCCAGCGTTGAAAAATGGATTGTTATTATGATCAGTCTCTCTGAAACACACACACACACACCCTCCTTTAAGGGACTGCCAAAGTGCCGGGAGCACGGAGACTCTGGCACGCATTTGGACAGCCTTTTGGATTACTGCTGTCACCTCGTTAAAATGTTTAAGTGAAGGGTTCTTAAGAGGATCTGGGCTGGGTCGGTGTTTACTCTGGCACCTCCACATCAGTCCTTACAGGCCTGTCTGGTTTGGGCACTGGGCCCTGGCTCAGGAAGGGACGTGGGCACCTCAAAGAGACACTATAGGCCAAGTTATGAAATATGATTAGGTATAATATGTATTGAACAACATTAGACCATCAGAGGGTGGCTTTAAATTGAACACAGGTGCACCACAGTTGCTGCTTTATCACAATATGGAAATGATAAAAGTATTTAACTAATTCAGTTATATCTAATGAAATGTGAATGCGCGTACCATCAATTCACCACTTAATTAAGATGAAAACACGCAAAACAAGACGGTTATTTTTCAGTGGGAATATCCAAGCTGTAACAGAAATATTTAGTGTTCCCAGAAACATGCACCGCAGCCTGGGATTCCCACTGTGGCAAGTGTAGGTTTGCCAAAACTCTTCTCAGTGTTGGTATGGCAGGATTTCCTTTGGTATAAGGTTCAGTTTTTCCTTTTAAATTTCATTAAATAGCGTTGAAATATGACAGGGTGATCTTTAATTTATTTCAATGTCATGCTGTGACATTTGCAGTAGAGTAAATCTTCAATAGAACAGATGCTTAGTTGTTCGTTGGCAGACTTTTTTCCTCTTTCTCTGCCAGCTTTTGGACAAGCAAGACAGCAGCTAGGTTTTTCTCAGGGTGAAGAGCAAGGATATGTTTACTTCTAAAATGTAAGGTTAGTTTCAACAGGATTATATCATTTCAAATATCTTCCCCATTATAAGCTACTAACCTCTGTTTTATTTCAGCGCAACAATGGAGACTGGCAATTCATCACACTTTTCTCGCTCATCAAATATGCTTTTTAATCCAACTGAAAATGCTTAGTAAGTATTACACTGTACAGAGAAACAAACTTATATTTAAGGCCAATTTTAATTTAAAAAAGAGTTTGCAGCCATGCTAGCTAGCTGACTTTTTGTTGTTAAAAACCCATCTAAACAGTGGCATGGCAAACTAGCTTTGGCTTTAAATGCAGTGATATGCCAAGGTCGGTGCTATATTCTTGTCTCTATAGAAAAAACTTAAAATAAACGTATATATGATGCATTTAAAATGACATCTGAGGAAGACTCAACATGGAATGTAAAGGGAATCCCCAATGTTATTAGAACGCATCCTCAGGGCATGATTAATGTCTGTGCAAAGCAATCCATCTAATAGTCGTTCAGACATTTCACTCTGAGTGATAGACTGAAATTAACATCTCTACAGATAAACCCTTGGTGGAAAATCCCCCTAAACCCTCCATGCAGTTGGAGCATAATCCTGGAGTCATACCTTGCTGGGCTGTTTTGGCTTTGGTTTGATACTGATGAAGACATCCAGCTGCTCCATTAGTGCTGTGATACACTGGGGCTCCACCTCAATGTCCTCTTTAATGTCAAACATTAATACCAGAGGCAAGCAGCCCTGCGGAGGAAACACAAAATTAAAGTACATGAGCAACAAAACCATTATTTTCTCATGTCAGCAGCAGAGTTATATCTTTCCGGGCCTGACCCTGTAATGTAAGCTATTTCTCATAACAGTGGTACAGTATATTTCCTTATTATATTATACCATTTGTAGACCTATATGTTAGGCATACCAATAAATACAAGATCCACTGCTGAGTTCATCCCACACAGCGTTTGGGAAATTCCGCAAAGAGCAATCTGTTTTGCATGATCACCACCACAAGCACCACAGACATCTATATTTTGGGCCGAGTGCTGGCCGGCGTTCCTATTGTGAGTGGGTGTAATTAGCAACTGAGTATAGAGGCCAGGCTGGCTCTGACAGGGCCTGAGATTGAAGCTGTAATCTACAGTCTGGCTGGAAGAGGCCAAATCACACAACTGAGAGCAGGACTCCTCTCTAGTGCATTCACAGCTACTCCCCTACTCCTTTTCCCCTCCATTTCTCAACTTCATCTCCCATCCCCTGCTTTCTATGCTTCTCCTCCCCCCTCTAACTCTTCTCAAATAAATCATTTTTTGTACAGCCTCACTCAGACAGAGAGTGAGAGTCTCCCTCTTGTGTGTCCACACCAAGAGAAAGTCATGTTTAGCCACTACAACAACTTTGGCATTTGCTAAATGTCCTTGGGGCCAAATGGGAGACCGCAGACAAAGAGAAGGCCTCTGTTACTGAATTACCGCTCCACATTATGGATCTCCACACAGAAAGCCAAAGTTGTTTACCACTTATATGCCACAGCTCAGCAGAAGTTTTTTAGCCAGTGGTAATTAAACGGCCATCACTGTTGCACCGTTTTTAAACAGACATCCAATTGTAATCAGTAATTCAGATAAGGGTAGGCTCAGTGGTTACAGGCAATAACACAAGAATGACCACAGTGCATTTTTAACACACAGAAATGAAATTGTGATGCACTTTCTACTGGTCCAAAAAACTCCAATGTGCTAACCTCTGAATTACAGGCAGTGTAATTTAAATCCCCCAAAATATACTATACATGCAAGCCAAACCAACACCGAGAAGGATAATCTGTACACAGCAAAGACATTAAGAACCTAAACCAAGCTGACGCAAATGTGTGTGTCCATCTCACATGCAGGTATGTGGCTAAGAATCATGCATAGTGTGCCAGCTACAGATTGTTGTACAACTGGACCTTTCAGCAGCACGAGCAGATCCAAGAAAATCTTGCCAAGCCGCAAAGGCATTCATGGTTTACTTCCTAAAAGCCATCTCAAAACCCACGCATCATTCACACATACCATGATGATGTTAGTGAGACAATGCCACCATTATAGCTACCACACAACATGTGGAATGTATGTAAAGAAACCAATGCAATCCCTTAACCCCGAAAAACAAAGCTTAGCAATTTAAAGTAATTATTTACAACCAGTGGATGTCAAGAAGGAAAGCACACACACCATGAGGTACTGCCGTGCCAGGCAGACTGATTCAATGGTGCCCTGGATGTAGACTGTGGATTTCTTCTGGGGGCTGTTGGGGTCGGGGAAGTGGATCTGGGCTCCGGTTCTCTGAGTGATGTGCTTGATGTTGCTGCCATTGCGGCCCTTCATGAAGAGGTGGTGCTGGGGAGCGATGTCCAGGTGGGTGGTCACTGAGATGGTGCTCGCCAGGCCACCCGCCAAGTGCTCCAGCAGCAGAGCCGTGCCCCTCTGGGGAAGCAAGGGAACAAGGCAATGTAACAGTTGAAAAATACATTATACATTCCTTCTAGCAGTCTGTTAAACTACGCATAGGTACAGGGTGCTTTGAGCCAGATGCTAACCTCACCTATATCAGTATCTTTCATTGTATCAGGACTATTAATGTCTTCACAAAAACTCTGGATAAAAACATCATTTTGGCTTCAAAATCATAATATGATTAGAAGTAAATGTGTATTCAATCCTACTTTACATGAAAACTATAACATCCATGCCATCATGTATTCAGATTATAACAATTTTTCATTTTGTATGAGGAGTATACAATATAAAAGTGAGTTTAATATCATTTTGGGTGCATGCTTATAGTGGGAAACGTCCAGCGGATGTTAAAATAAAATCTGCCAACAATAAAACAAAGAATAAATTATGGTCAATTTACTGACTTGTCACAAGACTATAAAAGTAGAAAGGAAATTACATTAAAAAGCTGGAACAATATCACAAGTAGGGCAATTTCCAGACCACATAAACTTTCAGTCACCAAGACGAGCAGTAGGGCATATAGCCCATCACATCAGTGTTTTCTATACAACCCATGGAAACTATTATATTTTCCACTGCATCTGCTGGCCTGCTGAACACTCTCATTCCTCGCTGTCTCTGCTATGCCTCTGCACGACATCACTTGGCCCAGTAAAGCAAGTCATTTCCAGAGTGCAAAGGGAATCCACACTGTGGCCAGCATCCACAGCGGTTTGGGCAATCCAAGGGTCTCACACCACCACATGACATAGTGCACATATTCCTCTAATACACTCGCCTTCATCTGGCATGCTTCCCGATCCCGACTGACCCCTCCGACCTACCACACACTCAGGGGCCGTGCTATTTAGTTTATGCATGTGCACAGAACACAGAAAATGTGCCTAAATGTACACTAGTGTGCAAATCCAAATGTAAGTGCAGTAGCGGATATGAATAAATAAATGCAGGGATGCATGTATGCATTCGCTGGCACAGAACTGGGTGCCACATTGTTAACAGAGGCTCTATAATGGACACTTGGCACAACTTTAATAAAATAATCCTTGGAAGGCTTTAACTAGCCGCAACTAAGATGTTAAGGAAGCGCATCTGTGAGTATATGCAATACATAAAGAATACATTAGGTTTATGCATTAACAATATGCAGATTGGAAAGACAGTAAGAAATATCACAATCTAAAAAATAATAATTCAGGAGAGACTTCTGGACTTGGTGGTGTTTCAAGAGCTGAACCAGCAGCTGTCCAGTTTAAGCAACCAAACATCTCTCAGCACTCTCTTGCCCCTGTGGTGCTGAAAGTAATAAGGCACTTAAAGCAAGAAAAGTGAGGAACACTGACAGTGTTGGTGGGCCTCGACATGCGGCAGCTCTGGAAACCTTTTTTTGGTCTGTGGCTCGCCATGTAAACGTTTGGGGAAGAATGAGGGTATTAATTCAAATATTGTTACGCTGAAATGACAGGTCAGGGCTCAGTTAGTTATTCAAGCAATTTTGACGCAACACTGGCTTTTGGGAGTGTTGAAACTGCAACTTTTGTGATTTGCCCCCCTCATAACCTCAGTCCAATTTAAAGGGAAACATCCGAACAAAAACATTATTTATATTGTTGATATTATTGCAACATTAAACATATAGAGGTTTACTGTAAAATGGAAACTAGAGCATCAATATCGAAATAATTTGATGACAAAATCATGTGAGTCATATAGTCAATATGTACTGAAATGATGGGCCTATATGTACTGTATAATAATAATGCACAAAACAATGATTACAATGACAGAACAGTATTTGACAACAATCTTGTCTTGATTCATCGTTTCAACACTTATCAAGCAAACTAGCTCAGATTACGTGAATATTTGATGCTTTTCTTTTTTTATGGGTTTTTAAATTTGAATATGTTGGGGTTTTGGTTACTGCTTATTCACTCAACTATGCAGTAATGACACCACATTTTGGAGACCCTCCTCACCTTGACAGCATTGGTGTTGTTCTGCGAGCCGCGGACCACGCCGGTGGCCCTGTAGAGGCGGGTCGAGGGCTTGAAGGAGACGGTGAGGTTGTATGTCTGCGAGATGTGCTGCACGGTGGGGGAGCTGGGGTCCGACTGCATGATGGCAGGAAGCTCGAAGGACAGCACAACAGGGAGCAGCTCCTACAACATGGGGGGATTTAAGGAGAGGAGGGAAAAGAAAGTGAAATTACTTAGGAAAAAAAACCTAAACCATGCTGAAATACTGCAGTTATTATAGCTTATCATTATGCTGCCATATCCTCTGCCAGGAAGTAAAACATTTAATGTTAGATTTCTTTAACAAAAATCACAAACAGGCACTGTTTTATCACATTGAGCTGTCACTCAGAATGATTAAGACCATATGGCACCAAGTAAAAACACGAAAGAAAATGGTGATTTCTTTACATAGTGTAGAGACAGATGTGAATTGACATACAGACATAACAACAGTGCCTTTAGCATAAGGTGGCAAAACTTGGAATGTAAATCTGTCCGCTCAAATAAATCCAGAGAAGTTAATTTAAAACGAGGTCAGCAGTGTCAGCATTACAGATATCCTTTGTTACATGAAGTTTGCTACAGATTTGAACATTATTCACACACACTTATTTAAAAGTTTGGCAAAAAAATCAGCATGTTCTTTGGCACACACGCATACATTAATTTCAAGTCGTTAAATGTAACCACAGGAGCAGTTTCATACATCAGCCTTTGTCATTTGTATCACAGCAGCCATTCAAACAAAATAGAGGCAGACAGAAAGGTCCTCGCTTCGAGCATACACATACTTATGCATGCATGGGAGAGAAATCAAACAGACACACACACACACACACACACACACACACACACACACACACACACACACACACACACACACACACACACACACACACACACACATACACACACACACACACACACACACACACACACACACACACACACACACACACACACACACACACACACACACACACACACACACACACACACACAAAGAAGAGAATGAATAGACACGCACACAATGTTATCCAAACACTGGCTCTTGGGCAGAGCGCCACTATGGTTTTGGCTGCCAGTGAAGGGCAAGCAGCATGAATTGCTCTGACCAAAGAAATGCATCCCTGATCAGTCCCATATGCGCCTGGCCTTACATTTATATCACGTTTCAGCACTCGCTCTCTCAGGGCTTGAGAAATGTAGGTCAGCACTGAGGGAAATGCAAGAGAGGACAAGCAGAGCAGCAGGAGTCGGGTTCTGAATGAAGAATGGACTGATTTTTATATGGTGGTCAGCTTTTTTTCTTCTCAAAAAGTCTACCTGGCACATATGAGTTTCACATGAATTCAATCTGAAAGCGCTGTTAGAAAGCCTCAGTTCTCCCGGCATAAGGGTGAGAGATGAAGAAAAATATCTTTCGAGGTAAAGCAACCAGCCAGACCTTTCATCACCTGCCTGTCAGCGCCACCTCTGAAAGCTCAAAGAAACCCCCCCGAGAATCCATCACCTCAACAACCGACTTGTTTCAGACTCAAACACATCTCCACCCAAGAGGGCCTCTGAAATACAGTAGACCTTACAAGGCCACTGTAGTATTTCTGAATGTTAAAGGGACATTACATTCATCGCTGATCCACCTCAGGGAGACCAGCCCTGACTTCTGGTTTCAGGAGAGATGGGGGAGGATGTGGTCTTAAGGCCACCCAGAACCAAACTAACAGTGCACTGTATATTGTTATTCACTGGAGACCTCAACCGTAGGGGGTCAACAAACTGGAGTAAACTCTTTCTGCTTTTTATGATGTGGTGCTTTGATTTTTGAAACAATACAAACTCCCAAAATCCCCTCATTCCTCTTTTTCCAAACTGATTTGATAGCAGTGGTTGGATATTTTGGGAAAGATTTTAAATCTATTTGTAAGAGTTGGATGAGAATATCGTTAGCCTCTATCTTATCTTACTCTCAGCTAGAAAGCACACATTTTAGCTATTATTTTAAAGCAACACTGAACTATAGTAAAGGTTTTTTTTGGTATTCAAATTTGTGCTAAAATAAATACCTGCCATTGTAAAATAGCAGAACTCGCTAATAGGGAGACTGCTGACAAGTACAAAGAACTGTACATTTAAAGACACTCTGGATAAGGTAGTATGTAAGTATTGATATGTTGACCAGTACCACCAGGAGGAGTGGTATATATTCAATGTAAAAGTAACCAGTAATACTCTTTCAAGTTAAGGTCCTTCGTTGCAATTATCCATCTTCATGCTTAACTAATACACACAAGTATTAGTATCATATATTATTGGTTTTATAATTATATTAGATTCATATTCTGTACTGAATCTGAAACTGCAGAAACTATTTAATTATGTCAATTAAATATAGTGGAGTAAAATTATTAAGTAGCAGAAAATGGAAACACTTCAAAACGTACAGTACTTGATAACATTTACAGATTTATCACTGCCAATTATTGTCCAGATATTTTATTTGAGAGGAAATGAGCTGCCAGTGCTGATAAAGTAAAAAGTTCAATAATTATTAGAAAATATATCTTTCCTATGGGCTACTTTCCTTCACCGCAGTTAAGGGAAATTGGCTCCAAATGAAGTGATGAAGCGCGTACATAATAAAGGCTATGTGTGGAAGGACTGTCTAGTCGTGAGACTTGAGTGTTTTATGGAACAGCACACAAGGTATTTGGGAATCATGGGATGAGGTGAGTATCAAGGTCTGCTTCAGAAAGAGCCAAGTTGACAGAGAGGGAAACCTGTGCTTTGATCCGCCCTCGTCATCCGCTGACTGTGTGTTTTTTGGAGGCCAGAACAATCTTTGCGGTTCTCTACAGCTTATATTATAAACCTCTTTGTAAAACACTGCTACAGTTTGGTTTGATTATCCTTTTTTTCACCCATAGCTAAAAGATTTGATGGCCTGGGTTGCGGCGTGCTGCTTATGAAAATAAGCAATGAGCTTGGAGAGGTGGGGGTATGCGTACATGCAGACATTTGCCAAATCACACTGCAAAAATATCCAGCATGACCTTCTGTCTCGCTCTCCATCACACACACTCCACTCACTCAGTCATTCTCACAAGCGTTGTTAGTTTTGGTCAGTCCACAGTGGAGGAACGTGTTCGCTGTAGCATTCTGCTGCGGTGTTGAAATACAGCAAAAGTTCAGGGATTTAACACTTCACACGAGCAGAGGGGTCGTCTGCCAACAGAGTTGAGGCTGGAGGTCGGGCTTCCAGTCAGACTGAAACTGAAGACAGGGAAGAGGCTGGAAATTGGCTGGAGATGGCGAAGGAGCCGAGGCTCGAGCTTGTATTTTACAATTGTTTTGGTAGAAGTGGTCTGGGAGTAGCTTAGGAGGAATGGTGCTTGCGGCTAAGAGGAAGCGCTGAAACTTTGCCTGAAGTGCACAATTACCTACTGTAACCCTGGAGCTCTCACATCAGCTGGATTAGGAAGAGAAGTAGGCTGTCTTACTGTAAATCCGATTTTTTGTTTATGGAGGAAGTAACTGTAATGAGTGATGCACTTTGGACGACTAAACTACTACAGCGTTTCAGGGTTACAAATGAGTTGGAAAGGGTTAGTCAGGATCGCTAATGAGAAGGCAAGGATTGTGAGTTGTTTTTCGTAAGAGCAGGAGACAAGCACTGCGGTCCAAAATTGGCCAGGCGAGTGTTGCCAAAGGCAGGGGGAACAGGAAATAGGGTGGGTGGAGTTGTAAACATGAACTTCAGGAGCTAGCAGGTTAGAAAGCTACAACAGCAGGACTTTTTTCCTTTTATTTTCCTGTGATCAATCTCTGTCACACTGCAGTCAAGCAGCATCCCTCTTTCTCTGCTGCTAGTATTATTTTTGCTGTGCAGTTATAGTAGAAAAGAATAAACAATAGGGATGTAACTATACAAAAAACTCACGGTACGATAATATCGCGATAAAAAGTCCACGGTACGATATTTATCGCGATATTGAAAAATAAAGAAAAAAAATGTGAATTTTTTACTTGAATTTTTTTTCTTTATTAAATAATAAATCTGATTTGTACAGCATTTTAGTAGGATAGTAGTATTTTAAAGTGTCAACAATATAATAATCAGACCCGGCAATAGAATAAATCAAGTTTCACTTTAGTTTTTCAAGTAACTCAACTCCAACTCACTCACTCACTCACTCAGCATCATCAAGGTTATCTTTTAGGAATATGAGCATGTCCACATTTCGAGGTAGAAGCTGGGATGTTTGGGCGTTTACAATATCCCCTGCTGTGGGAAAAACTCTCTTGCTTGGTACTGATGTTGCTGGGACAGAGAGATATGCTTTGGCCATGGGTGACAGCAGTGGGTAAAACTGTGCATTGTCTCTCCACCACTTCAAAAACAATACAGTTTTTGCCAAGAAGGTGAGGCTTATTGACAGGGTGAGATATAAATATACTGTTGGTACTTGTCAATGTCTCTGATAATACAATCAATTGCAATTGTCAAAAATTATAGAGGACCACGCTTGTCATGCCTCAAAAAGGTCAAAAATGAAATACTTACAAGCCTGCAGGGAATATTCGTTTAACACACTTAAAACGTTGCGTGCAGTATCCCTTTAAAATATATCGGCTGGGTTCCAACTTACCCTTATTTTGACTCGAGCGGCCTCCACCCCTCCTGGCTGCCCTGCGATGGACACCTGTTCACAATAAAAAGGTACATGTAAATCAGTTAGCCAGTTCAAAACCAATCCAAGACAAATAATGGCTCGGATCGCTGCATACAGTTGCACTTAATTTATAAGTCGAAAGAAAAACTCTAGAACAAATATAATGAAAGCAGGAGAGGTTTAAGGGCTTCCTCTTAACTGAAACCCCATTGTGACATATTTCCAGTTAATGTAATGTTTTATATTCTTGAACCACACAATTACAGTAACCACAAACTAACACAGCATTATAAAAATGGCCTCGACAATTGAAGTATTTTTTTTAACACAACCACCAAGAGAGGAGGCCATTAAATCATCATTTATTAAAATGAAATGATCAAGCAAACATAAATATCGGCAGTCTGCTTCATCTCTGGCCCGTTTCTGCCAAATGAACAAACCACACACATACTATGCATATACAGTATACACAGTGAAAAGCCTTGAAAAACCCTTTTATGCTTCATTCTAGGAAACATGAAGAGTGCTTGAAAAATAAGCCAGAATCCTAGTAGCTGCAGTATAAAGGAAAGGTAAGTAGCCACTTCTATCTATATATGCTTATATAACAGCACTGCACTTTAATATGCTCTGTATCTGCACTGTATCTCCCAGGCTCTGCTGCAGTCAGAAAGCTTCTGGAACAACCGAAGTGGTCTTAGCCCTAAAAAAAGAGTCTCTTGCTACTTATCAGCCCGGACTTGCATCATCAGAGTAAGACTGGAGGGGTCAGACAGTGTATGAGATACAGAATAATGACTTCAGGCATATCTTATTATGCAAAATCCACACTGATAGGGTTGAAATCAGTGACCTTTAAAACTGAATGGCTTGTCAGTGTGCACTTCAGAGCACCTGGCCAAGATAGAGATCTAATGTCGTGCCTGGTAGAGTGCACTGCTGAACTCCTCACACTACACTTCAAAGTTAATTACAGCAGGATCCGACTGCTCCTCTACAGCCAGTCCAGCCAAAACACACCGACTTCCTCTGGGCTAGCCAATCAAAACAGCCAGCTGGACCAACCCTCTCTAAAATGTCTGGCCCGGGATGCTTCGACAGGTAATGAATTGGCTAGAGGGCTGCATGCAAAGATCAAAACAACTATTTAGAACAACTTGAGCTTCGACTGGAGAAAGTGAATTGTGAAGGGCTGATGACAGTAAACACTTAAGGTGGAAGAATTCAAAACACTTACACTCAAAATATCAATCGTGTAAGAGTGTGGTTCAAGAGATTAAAGGACATATTCGATGAGGAGGAGTCTTTGATCAGCTGGCAGGAAACGGCTCACTCGCTCCATCCATCTACCTCTGATGCCTCAATGAGACGCCTCTGAGTAAATCCATGTTGTAGATCACATACCTGGTTGCTTTTCTCTGCCTGGTTGTTCCTGTTAGAGTCTGGGAAATGGATGTGGCAACCCGTCTCCTCCATCACCCTCTTGATGTTGTTGCCACCTTTGCCGATAACGTGGGAGTGCTCTGTGTGGGAGACGTCCATCTTCAGAGTTACCCTGTTACTCTAATGAGCAGAAAAGAGAGAAACTTTGATTTATAATGCTCAGATTGTGCAGCTTGGTACTCAGAGAAAGATGCATCTTTGTATATGTTTATTTGAAAAGGCACTTCATAATACAGTTAGAAAGGTGTCATGCAATACATTCAAGTTGCAACATATTGCAGTCATCACAGAAAGCTTATTAAACTCAATACATAACCTTCATCACTGTGACATTTTAAAGTGTATGAACAAAAGGAGGACCAGGATAAATGATGCTCTCCGCTCCCTACAGATGGGCTGCGACCGACATTTTTTCCATTATCGATTAATCTGATGTTGTTTTTATAGATTAATAATTAATTGTTTGGTCTATACAATGTCAGAACAGTTAGAGAAATGCACTGTCGTTCTCACAATCCAAGGTGATGTGTTTAAATGTGTTTATTGTCAGCAGAACATTATTATGATATACAGTACAAGAGAGAAAAGCAAGAAACCTTCATATTTGAGAGGCTTGAAACCACATAGTCCATTTTTCAAGATTGGCAGGTCAGAGAAAAGAAATTGGCAGAGAAAGAGGCTTTTGGTGTATGTCCATTGGTTTCCTCTTATTATAAATGCTGCTTCACTGAAAGCCCTATTTTAAACACTTGCATATGCTGCAGCCCTTTTGAAAAGAGGCAAAAAGCAACAAAGTATGCAGTACATTAAAATAAATGAGTCGCGTTAATAAATATCTTTGTCTGCCAGACTCAAATAAATGGCCTTTTCGTGACAAAGACATACAAGACGGTATAAACTAAGCCAATAATGTGTTGCTCTTTTGTGTCGGCCAAAGTGCACAGATGATTGCAGGCCCCCAGGGGGTGCTACAGCGCAGTCGCCGAGGTACAATTTTTCTTGTGTTTCCATGGCAACGGACACACACACACACACACACACACACACACACACACACACACACACACACACACACACACACACACACACACACACACACACACACCACAATCCCTGACAAGGCTTGGGATGAGAGTATCTGGCCAGATAAGTGCCAAGTTTAAACCACACTGCTGTGTGCAATCTGTCACTGACCAGTGGGAGAGCCGAGGTGAAATACATTAATGCGAACTGAACACCAGCGAGAAAAAGAGAGTGAAAAGGAGAATGACACACAGTCTTATCTTTACCTCGATAAAGATGTTTACCGTACCTTTGTGTCGAGGACGGACATAATTCTGTCTTTGGCTTCCCTCACATTGTCCCTCTTCCCGCACACCTTGATGTGTGGATCTGCAGGGAATGACAGTGGAAGAAAAGAGACATGCAGACATTAAAGAGAGAGGCATGTTCAACTTGTGGATGTTATTATGTGTGAGAGTGTCAGTGCTGATACAAAAGGGAAGAGATACAACGTGGGGTGTGTGGGACACAATTTAAATCCATGTATCCAAACATGACACAGCAGTCTGGATGTGTCAACAAATTAGAGCAGGTCAGAGAATACCTCTGCAGCAGTAATTGCTGCTTTGATATCTGCCGAGTCTCATTTAAGTCGAAGAGCAACCACACCATGGGAGGAGGAGGAGGAGGAGGAGGAGGAGGAGGAGGAGGAGGAGGAGGAGGAGGAGGAGGAGGAGGAGGAGGAGTGCAGCTCTGTGGAATTATATTCGGGAAATCCTTCAGAACACTTTGTGTGCTCTTAGCACCCCGCTACAGAAAAAAAGTAAACTTCCTAGAATTCTTGTTGAAATGCTCTCAGTGGTCACACAACAGAAGTAAAGGTCCCAATAGCTTGAGTAACCTGTGCTCCCAGAAGCCTTGCCAGCCTCTTAATACTTCAGATAAAATAACCAAACACTGCATACCAAAAGCATTCAGAGCTAATGCTTGTGTAGCGTTGGGTAAGCTAACATCTGGCTCCGCGCATGTTGGACCCCTGGAGAACGCAAATGTGAAAATGCATGAACACACACAAATGTAAATGTGCACACGCATGTACTACACACTCATGGTCCATCGCCTCTGTGTTAACTGTACTGAGCAGCAGGAAGTCAACTAAGCCGCCTTCCAGGAATACCCCTCCCCATACACACACTTAAAGCATCTGAGATTTACAGTATGGGCTCCAGTCAGGACTCACTGAGGCAGGTTTACTCTTAGTCGTTGGGAACTCTGCAAACCCCATGGAAGCATGTTTTGAGTTTCAAAGAGCAAAGAACAGAACAAAAATAAGAACCCTTAAAAAACAATGGCCAGGACATATGTTTGTGATGACATGGGACGTTTCTGATTTCCAGAATGTTTTATATCTCACAAAAGCCAAACCAAGAAGCTCTCTATGGAGCCCCACAATACAATGAGAACACATGATCTCAGTCTCCTGTAGAACGTAAAAGAACATGGGATGGCTAAAACGAAATTCAGTTTTTAGAGGTATGTGAAGGGGGTTCAGCTCTATATTTAATGGAGTCTACGGGGACCATAGAGTGCCAGCAGTGTCACAGGGGTCAGGAAATGTCACCGCACACTACAAGAGATGCTGGATCTCATTGGAGCGGAACAACAGCTCTTTGAAGGCCTGAAGGTTAGGAACTAAAGCTGTAGTCTGAGACAAAAACAAAACAAAGGAAACAGAAAAAAGAGCAAAAGTGGTTAGAGACCCATCGCAGTCTCAGAGCTGGTTCCAGGAACATTTCCCATCATACAGCTGTTGCTGTGAACAATAGAAATGTCTCCACTTCCTCCTGTGGCACCCACTTTGACCATTAGAGGGAGTATGGTCCTTCCAGTGACTGACCTGCACTGCACATCTGGCAAATATTAGCCAGCCTAAACGAGTGTTGCAGTCGTGATGTAAAACACCCCCGCATTTTTTCAATGGAGTGTGGTGTATGCTCCTTTTCGATGATTGATTGTGGAATAAAAAATTAACACCTTAAGTCTTAATTTGGCTCACACAACAGCTGGAAAAGCAAACAAAAACAAGAGTAAACTTGCAGCTGCAAAACTTGAATGTTTTCAGTCGCACACATTTCAGTTCCACTTGACGGAGAAGAAACCTTTTGACCCAGAGCTCCGTGCTGGCAAAGCTAAAGCATTTTTCCAGCTGAGGACTACATTCGAAAATACCACACAAATGAAGGGAATTAAGTCCATTTGGCTTGGCGTTTCTCATTCAGAACATCTGCGGGAAGTTTGAATCGGACAACTGGCAAGTAGAAGAAGTAGAAAGACAAAAAACAGAGATAAAAACATGCTTGATACATTAAAAGACATCTCAAAGTATTGGCCATTCTGTCACTCAGAGCAACATGGACCTGTCATGTGTGAGTGACTTAGCTCCTCTCTGTATTAAATCAGTAACAGAGTGCTGATGATGGCTCAACACAGAGGCTAACAACTAGCCTTATCACACTTATGCAGGTGGCAGGGACAGCTAGCTGCAGGTGATAAATACCGTAGATTTTGGCCCTGCATGAGGAGAGGACACAAACATACAAATCCCCCACATCTGCTGGTATCCTGCAGGGTGTAACCAATTCCAGACCTAACATAAAAGACAGCACTCATGCAGAATTCCAGTAAAACAGGGAAAACTCACACCCTATGAGTTTGGATTAGGCTAACTCAAAATAATCTGAACCAACTATAGCACTTCATCAGCTATTTTAGGGGCAGAGAAAGTTGGTTTGACCCTGTAAGGAGTCAAATATTCTTTTTTTAGCCATCGTGCACTCTCTCTTTCCCTCTCACGAGTACAGGTTGCGAAAACAGATGGTCAAATCTACATGTCTCTTCTACCACAAAATCATTCGCTTGTAAGATGTGATTAGCCAACATTCTTCCCCTCTGCTGCTCTCAGTTTACGCAACACAGGGAAAAATCCATCAGGCTACAAGTCATGGTTCAGAATTTTAAATATCGTCGACAGAACATCATTTCCAGGTGGTGTTGGAGGCAGGTTTTGTGAATGAATGACCCGGATGAATGGATGGTTGTGTGTGAGTGGCTTGCCAGGGTTTACAGTTGATTAAGTATCTAGAGGAAAATATGTTGCAGATTCTGATGTAACCCCGTCAACTATTTTCTATACAGAGCGAGTGAGGAAGTTACATAATGTCATTGGATTCCACATCTGGCTTGAAGACGCACACCGGCAATTCTCCTGAGGACAACAAAACGGGCACAGCTACACCTACTCCTCAAACTCCGTCTCACCCCCTCCCGGAAGAACTTTAAATAACCGTGATAATATTTTATTGGTAACAGAGTGCAACAAGAACAACTCGGCCAAAGAACGAGCGGGTTTCAATACAACTCCCACCCTCCTCTTCCTCCACAGCTAAAATATACAAATTCCTTAGCACAGATAAAGTTACTGGCTTTCATGTTTTCAGACTCAATTCAACTTTTAAATAATGAATGATAGTGCAACCTTGAAACACTTCCTTATTGTCCATCTGAGACCAATTACTTTCCTTAGAACATATTTCTGGTTAAAGCAACACTGACAAATAGTCATTAACCTATGTTTGGTGGAGAGTTAACACAGCTATGTTGTCACCTCACATTCACACATCAGGTTTAGTTTTGCTCTTTTGTCGTTAAACATCTTTACAATTAGTTGTGGACTTTGCATTTCTGTTAGATACACAGTAGGCAACAGTATTTCAAGAATGTGTTAAAGGAAGTCATAAAAACGTTTGCCTGAGTTTGTGGACTTGTGGCAGGTTAAAACCGATTCATACATTATGTATGGTTGCATAAGGGAAAAAGTGTTTAGGAGTACATGGATCCTGTAGGAATATCATCTTAAAGGGTTACAAAGGGATATAAAGAAAAGGAAAAACTAGTCACCTTTTTTGGACTTGGCTCCGATTTTCAGTTTGGACGGCCAGGCTATCTGCGTTTGGGTCTCATCCATGATCTGGAACAGAGGGAAGGAGGGCTGACATTAGCTTATCACAATCATCAATACTGGCAGTGTGTTGACAGACAAATACACACATTTTATTGGGCTCTAGTCAGGATAATCAAGGTCCTTTACTCTGTCTTAACGTGTCTATGTCTTATTAGACACACGCATTTTCAAACATTTGGACTACCTATGTTGTAAATCTATTATCTTTTATTGCACGTCTGTCCGTCCTGGGAGAGGGATCCCTCCTCTGTTGCTCTCCCTGAGGTTTCTCCCATGTTCCCCTTTAAACTGTGGGGTTTCTTTGGAAGTTTTTCCTTGTACGATGTGAGGGTCTAAGGCAGAGTCCTGCATCGGGTCGGGTACCCGCGGGTACCCGACGGGTGATCTGCAAAAAAGGTGATTCGCGGGTGGTATTTTTTCAAACGCTTTTTTCCGGGTTCGGTTCTGGGTAAAACAAAGATGATGCGGGTCGGGTCGCGGGTATTGCATAATAAATATATTAAAATAATAGTAAATTAGTTTAATGTTTAAAATCCTCAGACCTCCCCCCCGCGGGACCGCGCATAATCATAACCTCTGCAGCGCATCAATCTGCTGCTGTGCGCGCCACATTCGAAATGGCTGAGGTGAAGCTCTCTAGCGGAGAATACAGCATTTTCAATAACACTTCCTCAAGAGCGAAATCCAACGTCTGGGAGGCTTTTGGTGTCATCCTAGATGGAGGAAATAACCAACATCCCACGCTTTCTGAGACAAATATGAAACTGCGTGTGTTAATAATTGCATGTTTTCACTGCTCATAGGCTATGCGGGTTCGGGTCGGGTTGCGGATCTTGTGCCGACGGGTCGGGTCGGGTTGCGGAACTAATTGGCAATATGTGCGGGTAGCGGGGCGGGTTCGGTATTGCACGTCGCGGGTGCGGGGCGGGAGCGGGTCTTGAAAATCAGACCCGTGCAGGACTCTGGTCTAAGGACAGAGGGTGTTGTATTGTCATACTAATATTCTGTACAAACTGTGAAGTCCTCTGAGACAAACATTTGTGATATAGAGTGGGCTATATCCTCCTGGGACCCGAGGAAAAAAAGTGTCTTCCAATTTCCTTTTTTTTGTGATTTCCTACCTATTTAGGGTTAAAAAAACATCTTGCAATTTAGACTTTTTTTATTTTATTTTAAAATGTTACAGTATGTCCACTGTAGAGGACGTCGGGACCATATTAGTTTGAAAAGACAGCCAAAATTAACAGATGGACTATGTAACGTATTATGGTTATAGAGTGATATTAATACAATAATACATTCACCTTTATTTAAAACATGAATAAGTAATTGATCTGAACATTGCTGTTTATTTGGTCACTAAAAAACTAGTTTGGTTTTTGGTGAATCTTTCCAGATCTTCAAAGACTTTGTAGTCAATGTAGTGGGAAAGTACCTCATTGACTCCAGTCAGCACGGGCTGTAGGGTCATTTTGACTAGTTTTATGGATGTGGTCTCCATTTGACCATGCTCATAGAAACAAAGCTTGCATTCCTGAGGCAATTCTCATTTTTCATGGCTCCACTTAAAATAAAAACAACAATAAGACATAAGTGCTACTCTTGGCCATGTCTTTCCAGCTCGTCCCTATCTGTCTCTACAGTGTATGTATCTATCTGTGCGCTCATGGAGCCTCCTGCATCTTTCCCCCCCTTCTTCTTGACCCTCTTCTATCCCAGGTGTGAAAGCCTCATCTCTCTCATCATCTGAGAGCTCAAAATATTAATCTCCCTGAGCTATCTGGTACAGAAAATGTCTGCTTCAGTTCCGTCTCCTGCAACAATATTGAGTCATAAAGTCCATGAAGATGTTCCTGACGTCCACTAGAATGGACATTTATAAAAGGGCTGTTATTTGAAAACTTGAATTATTTAATTGCTTTCAGAACTAATTATATAGTTCCTCACATGTTAATAAACAATAATATATATGATTTTCATGGTAAAAATTACAATTATTCAACAATATTTGACTTCTCCTCCTGCTTCTATACAATTTTGTTTTTCGTATGCCAGCCATTTTGGATGAAAAGAAAGAGGAACTTCCCAGCATGCAATTTTTACCAATGACATATCACTGGAAAGATCAGGATGTCCTCTGTACAGCACATCAGGGATTGATAGAGTAGCTCAAAAGAGTAAAAGGAGATGCATGTTAAAAAAATGTCCACTACAGTGGAAATTTTCAATGGGTTGGGTCCCAGGAGGATATAAATAAACATTGATTGATTGATAATGTGGCTTTGGCTTGGTTTGCAGTGTGGACAACTGTTCACTACTGCTTCTCTTGTACTGACAAATATTCATTTCTTCAGTAAACCTATAAAACAAGTTAAAATGAATGATGATGTAAAATGGAGCATGTTAGAATGGTCAAAGTAAAAGTAATGAAACCCAGAGAAGTCAATAGTAGTTTCAACATGTCTGATGATATAAGCCAATATGATGTTTCCAGACATTTCTTTGTTTCTGCTCAACTACCAAATCCTCCCACCCTTACACCACCCCAAAAAACAAAAACAAAACATTACACTTGGCTTTGGTGCATGTGAAAAATGCCAACAACAATCTATGTAAGAGCTCTTTGACAAGTCTCGTCATCGCAACCACAAGCACATGCAAGGATGTGAAAAAAGAAAACTGCTGGCAGCACAAAATAAAAACAGCAAGGAGCTGGTCAAGACGCTGTCAGCGTTCCAATCAGAGGAAATCTATTCCCCACCCTGAACACCAGGAAGCTCACCTTGCTTGGTTTCCTGGCTACAGATCCACAAACAAGCCCCATGAGAAATGCCCGCCATCACGAGTGGTTGATGCGAGTGGAAAAAAGAATAAGTAGGAAAAACTGTCAAACCTTCCAAAAAATTAGGACCCGAAATGATCTCTCCTAACGTTATGCTCTGGATTTCAACAAGTCTTGTTTTCTCAAAAAGTTCCTGCGGCATTTTTGTTGGTTTTACTTTCCAGGCGTTTGTCTTTTTAGGGTGAAGATATGAATTTCTCGAATTTCTCTAAGCCTCGACCATGTGATCATTCACCCGAGGACGACTTCCACTCATTACATGATGAGCAGCACTTAATTTTCCTTGGTGGCTCAGTGCATTAAGCAATGAGCCCCAAATGAAAGAGAAGGTGGATTAACAGCCATCAGCACTGCCAGAGAAGATAGGACGTTAAATAGCACAGCAATCAATAGCTTTCAATATATCTTTTTTTACAAATATATCCGCTACTTTTTCTTGCCAAATAATAACAAATACAGCCTGTACTCCTATGGGATGTGGTGCACAAATCCAAAAGGGAAGTGCTTAAATTCCTCCATATGCTCTCCTGGAAGCAGCGTGGTCTGTTTGGCATCTTTTGCAACACATTCTGACAGTTTATCCACTGTCAGTCTCACGTACCTGTAAAACAGAGAGACAGCTTGGAAAGGCCTGATGCGTGCCTCTCTTTACTTTGCAGCTATATACTCAGAGTCCATGATGGTTGAGTGGAAGCCCTTTCAAGCCTCACTGATTTCCTATAACGTCCTATAATCACATACACAAATGGACAGCCTAGGCGAGCAACAGAATGAGCTGCTAAGGCCATTACCCTGCCACTAGAAGAGCAAGCTTAAACGCAATTAGTTTAAACAGCACCATTTGATTCATTAAAGCAAGATGTTCATTGTTTTTAGGACACACAATTCTTCTTTAAAAAAAGGCAGTTTCTTTGTTCTTTAGAAAAACAAGATTCTGCAATGCTCAGAAACGCTCATAAAACAGATCTGTTTAAGCCAACAAAATCATTGCAAAACACATTTGTACAACAGTTAATATTTTGTTGCATTCTTCCTTCACTCTCTTAAGCTCAAGATGGATTTCTTTGAGTATTATCATCATGTTCTAGCAGCAGAGAAACACGCTATCAGTCATTCTATCCTGCGTGTGGCTCTGCATTTACTCAGTTTCTTTTGAGTGAATCACAAAAACAAAAGGAATTTTAGTATCATTTTGTGCAATTATGAAATAAAATGAGAATTATTTTCAGATGAGCTCGCTCAACTATTTTTGTTAAGGATTCTTTTGTGGTATCATTTAATATGACTAAGCTGAAAATAGTTTTTATCATCCAGCATGCTAATGACCCCCATTGATGTGCTCCAACTGGAAACATTCCCTCCTATCTGCAATATAGTCAGTGCCAACATAATATTATCAGTCTATTCACTCAGATTGGTTTTACACACACTAAAATGTAGGCCTGAAACCAAAATGGATGAGTTCTGTGTTATTAGGTTTCCTACTACCTTGAGGCACAAGCTACTCTAATGTACAACATGACACCCTCCCACCGTCATCTGGTAAAAGCATAATAAATCACAAAAACCCTGTGGCTTAATGCTAACTTTTTTCTTTATAAACTGAAGTCACGTGCCCACACCAACAGCTGGAAGTATCATAACAACATTAAAAGGACATTATGTTCCCAGTGATAAGAAGTAACTCCTTTTCTTTTGCCTCCAAATGTCCCTTGTTTTGACTTCTTCTCCTGCGACAATGACACATGATTCTGGTTTTAAATGGAACGCCTCCTTGACAAAATCCACACGTTAGAGAAACGACACCTCCGCAACCTCTTAGAGGCTGTTGGAATTACAGTGGCAACGTGGGGGCGGATGGCAGACGAGTGTGGCAGAGTTCCACATATGTCATTAAAAAGTGATAAGCTGCAATGGAAATGTGCTTTTCAATCTTTTTTTTAGCAGCTACGCAGTTTAGAAAACCCAGTAAAGTAAAAGCTTCTGATAAAAATGACAAAAGCAACACATCTGAAATAACTCCAATTATACTTTCCCTAAATGATCAAACTTTAGGGGCTATGCCTCATCAACTTTTTCTCTGAAAGAGTTTTGTTCAGAGAGACCTGTTTCCTGTCCAGCATTGCTGTTCTTGGCAGCAACGTGCAGATGGGACTGATTTCTGACAGACCACACACCATTTTAAAGGGTGGAAGCCGTTTATTTTTATGGAGGGGCTTGCAAATACCTCTCAAATGGGTCAAGATATTTGCTCAAATTACGTTACCTATATATTTAGGGTTTCACCCTTTCTTCTCAACAACCCCGCCCTTTCTGAGATGAATAAATACATAAATGACTAAGGTTCTGATCATGTTTCATGGCACGATGATAGGTTTCCAGCTGCAGCCGTGAAGGGCTTCACGTGAAATCAAACAGGCAAGTTCCTGAAAGACAGCACATGTGTTCAACACACGTGACTGTGTGTGTACCTCTGGATGTGTGTGCTACTATAGCTCAGCAGCAATCAACATGGCAGAGGCATGTTTCCTGGTCTGCATTGCAATGGTGCAGCTGTTGATTCAGCTGGATTGAGTGTGTGTGTGTGTGTGTGTGTGTGTGTGTGTGTGTGTGTGTGTGTGTGTGTGTGTGTGTGTGTGTGTGTGTGTGTGTGAGTGAGTGAGTGAGGGGGACACAGAGGACTGCAGAGGGGTGTAAAGAGGGCAGAGTTAGGAGACCGACTGAGGGAACAGCATGCACTGAAACATCCCCACGAGACTCCACAGCCATAACTGAGTTCATGTTAACAACCTGAGTGCTAACTCGCAGCTAAAGCCCCTAACACCTCGGGCTACTACTAACATATGCATAGTTATGCCTACAACTAAAACGACACTATAAAGCAATATAAACTAATTGAACCTCTATGAAAAACACAAACATTTGTCATTATGTTTCGATGGTACTGTTTTCCTATTTTCCCAAGAGGAGCAAAATACAAGAAGCTTCAGTGCTATAGAGCAAATGAATTATGCCTGGCCTGAGATCTGAGTGAACTGGCACTTATACATCCCGCCTGGCATTATTTACAGAGCCACAGCTCCTGGGAAAGAGTGATGGAAGGGGGATCAGAGAGCAAGTTGCAAGAGGTTCATAGACATCTCACAACTCAAATCCACTCCAAGCTCTTCTGTGGTTCAGTTATCGTCTTCACCAGCCGAGCTTCTCGGCACTCAGCTGTCCCGCGGCTCAACTTCTGCACAGCTCTCCAAACAGCTTAGTGGTCTGTGCCATGATTTTACACTCTAACAGTCCTCGATCCAAAAATGGCAAAGCACAACCGTACGATGAACTGCTCACTTGAAGCAATTAATTTGCAGAGAAATCCCTCGTAATACCAGACTGATAACAATGACACATCAGGCATCGGTCTAATGAAATGCAATTATCAAATAACAGCAGGAGGGGGAGGAGGATCTAGGGAAGAGCAGGAGGAAGAGTTAGGAGGCAAAAACAAGACTGTACAGAAAGAGCGACATGAAGCTGGCCAGATTCCCCATGTGAGCTGGAGTGACTTGCACAATGCTTATTTCCCAGCTGTGGCACCCTCCTGTGGTCCCACTCTTTCTGCTTTCCTCTCAACTTTCTTATCAACAACATGAGGAGGAAGGACTGTTTGTGCTCCATTATAAAAGCTTTGCTCAGGACTCAAAGGAAGTCCAACAGACAGTGAGTAAGAGGGTTTCATCAACCACCGCCTGTAGAGAAAATGTGGGGGTGGACCATTATGTTGCTCATTGGAGAATGAACTCTAAATCTCATTCCCAGAGCTAATATTTAAAAGCCTGTGCGTCAAAAATTACCTTACCCTAGTGAGAGAGTTGCTATGGCTGTGCTTTATGAGTCTCTCTGAGTGTGTGAAGTACATGGGTGTGTTGGACGGGCAAGGAAGCAGCCAAACTAAGAGTTTCCATTTTCAGCAACTCCAAGGTATTTCACACACCTCATCCATTTTCTTTCAACAATACCGTTCCACAGGCGCACTCAGTGTTTATTTTCCTGACTTTAATTGGGCATGTACAGTGATCACGCTATCAGAGGGAAACTATATAGAGTTATCCAAATGGAAATTCTACAATAAAAACATGACTTTAGCACTTTACTGCTCCTCGCCAGCATGCAAACCCAAACAGCTGCACACTAATTTACAATTTCTCCTCTAATAACCTCTGTTTCTTTGAACAAGCTGTGAGAGTCTTTCAAGCCAGAGACTTTAAAATATGTGACTTTGAAAGTCAATACACGAACAGCCTTAGTTTGTCAGAATATCTTTGTGTAACGAGTTAGACACCTACACTGGATATCTAAAACCTTACAGTTATATCCTGACCAAAAAAGGTGGAGACAGAGCTACAGTATATCAAGGGTCTTTGTTGAGTCTTTGTTCCAAAAGGAAGAGAATTTCGAGGCGCCTGGTTTGCATTACTTGGTTTTAGAAAACTGCTTCAGAGACAGCTAAATTGCCTCCTTCTTTGACATTAAACTCAGCTTTCTAACCTCCAAAACCAAACACGGAAAATAGACAAAAGGGGAATGCTAAAACAAACCGCTGTCCATCATGTATTTCATTACAGGCCATTAACATACTATGGAGGGAATTTAACGTATACAGGAAGCTGGATTTTAAACAAGAAATAAACCAAAGGGGATGTTCTTAATGATAACTGCAAATGAACTGTGTCAGTGTTAGGGTTGAGCAATATGGCAAAAGTGTTTATCATCCTAATTACATTCACTTTTCTAAAGAATCTTTTAATTTCCCTTCAATTGATGTATAACCTGTACAAAACAAGGACTGTTTCATCTTAGACATAATCTATTTAAATAGATACATTATTAATAACCCAAAAATATTCTCTTGTGAAATGTTTGAAAAGGTCTGCCATATAATTGTTAGAAAACAGATTAATGCTGTTATGTGATTGGTTGTTAGTGTGCTGACAAGCAATGTATCTTATTGACAGCATACATTTATAATTTCTTAATTGGGGAAAAGGTTATTCAATGTAGATTCATTTCAAAGTTAATTGTTGGAGAAATTGAGGCTTTAATAGAAAGTACTAAAAACTAATCCTTGTAGTTGTAGCTTTTGTAAAAGATAATTGATTCATAAAAATAACTATACAACATCTACAGTGAATATTTAACTCCACACAGGGTCACACACTTGACTGATCTTGGAGCAGCAATGACACAATGTGAGCAAGTTGTGATGTGAAAAACCATTCAAGACTATTCAAGTTCACCGAGGCAGATCCTAGTTTTATTGGATGTAATGAGGCTTTAGAGAATTAACTAATTAAATCCGTGACAAAGAAAAGGCAGAGCTGGCCGGAGCATGCCTGTGTTCAACTTCTCTCTCATGTAATACTGAATAAATGATCTGGTGTAATATGGTGTATTATTTGAGGGAGAAAGGCTCACTGTGTTGTGTCAGCTGTGTTATAGGATCAGAGCCCTGCAGTGATTCAGCGTCAGCATCGTTCTGTTGTTTTTGTTTGGTTTGATTTGTAATTGCGAGTGACTGGAGGAGCACCTGACATCTGCTCCCTTCACCAAGAGAGAAGTGATGCTCGGCAGGCTTGAACGCAACACATAGACAAAGTAAACACCGTCCAAGTGCAGACTACACACTCACCTCCTGAAAGAAATCCTCTCCGCCGTTCACTCTCCCCTCAGAGGCAGCTAGAATGAGACAGAGAAAGAGAACAAATAAATCCCTCAAACCACATAGAGCCAACTCAGTTTTTATACGCAGTGTAACCTTAACAGCTCAATCACAGAGCGATTATCCAGTCACCTCAATGTCACGGTATCCTCACTCAGAGCAGTGTTTATGGTGGATCTCCATTTCTTTGGATATTGTGTTTGGCATGGATCCTGATACTGCTCATAGGTAGGAATGCTCACAGTCATTTTCTATAATCCTTGAGATGGGAAACGGCTTCCGTGTAACAAATTGATGGATACAGGGAAAATACTTGGGTATTTTGGAGAGAAAGAGTTAATGAAGTATTTCATACCATACTTAGCTCAACTGGTGTTCCTTTCACACTTCTTTAAAAGGCTTTAACATTTTTGTAATGTATCTGTCAGCATACTGTACACACTTTGGTCATTGGGGGTTACAGTATATGAAAAGCTCAAAAGCACCTGTAAACAAAATAAGCACTTAGTCACATTCTCACGTGAAATAGCCAAGAAATTCAGCTGATACGGTAAGCTGGATAGAAACAAGAGCGCCAACGACCAAAACCAATGAGGCCTGTAGTCGTTGCTCCAACACATCTGCAAGTCCTTTCAACTGTGGCCGCTCTGTTGATGCAAAATACATATCTGCTCTCCAAGGAGAACTCTCATGTTCCTCTGCCTTTCGGGAGAACATGGAGGTTTAATGATGCGTTGCAGTCAGCGTTCTCGAGGTGGATCTGTTGCTGTCTGAGCGAATCTGGGTCAGGAGCTGCAGTATATCTCTTGTGGGTTGCACAGTTCAGGCATAAAGGCTTGCCTCAAGAACGATGTTATGATTATAAAAAAAATCAAAGTCATCCTATGAAGACAATGCTTTTATATCCAATGAACCGTTGAACTGTATATATTTAAATTAGCGTTGGCCGAGCAAGATTAGCCAATCAATTGAGACGGAAAATAAATCAGCAACTATTTTTACAACGGATTAACTGTGTAAGTTGTTTCTCATGCAAATAGGCTAAGGCATATCTAGTTACCCCTTCGCAATTGTAACTATGGGCTGATTCTGTTTGTCTTATATGATAGGAAACTCAATATCTTAATTCAATAATGTTTTGGACTTTTGGTGGGTAAAAACAAGCTATTTTAAGTGGTCTCCTTGTTCTTTTGGAAATGATGATGACCCTTTGTCCTCATTTTTTGTTTTAGTTACCAAATTGATCAATTGTGAAGTGAGTAGTTGTGTTTTGCAGCCCTATCATTTTCAAAACATCACAATTGCAACCACAGGGAGAATTATAAAAATAAAAAGCAGGGATGTCCGGATCACCTTTTTTTGCTCCCGATCCGATTCCGGTCATTTGATTTTGACAATCTGCCGATACCAATTTTTCCTGATCCGATCTTTATGCAATGCATTAAGAGAAAAAAAGGTAACAGATAACGGCTGGTCATCCAACGCGATGAATTCAGCTATCTTGGCTGTTATTTTTTTGGCCTTTTCACTGTTCTGGGGCAGTTTCTCTTTCCTTTTAAAAGTCTCTGAAAGTGTCGGTTGTTTCAGTGCCGTTGTTGCAGTATAACTTGAGTCATGACAACTGGCGACATTCTATTATTTTCGTCATAGGAATCCGGGGCGTGTACATTGAGGACCCATTGTTGACTTACCAGGAAATAAACATGTCGATCGCCTCGTTTGTCGTTTACGTTCATCTTTTGCTATATCTGCCTTCCTACGATCACTTTGATGCACATTCAGTACTCGTATGTGAGGTTGTGGGTGAGAGGTGGATATCGTGACGCTTACAGGGAGGTATCGAACATTACAAAGTAGGTGACTGTGTGGATGCCTGTTCAAAACATTGCAAACTTGAATAAATCATTTAAGTTATATATTTGTGTCCGACTTTCATTTGTACATCGTTCTTAATGTGATGTATAGTAGCTTTGATAGCTGTCCATACCTTCAGACAGCCTAAAAGTAAAACACAAGTTGTTTATTCACAGCCCGAACGCTCATCGAGATGACTGGATCACTCATGACAAGTTGTGATCAGCTCCGATTAAATTGTGATATAAAATTCTGTTTTTTTTTAATGAAAAACCTGTATCCCTCTCATCACAACAAGACTGTGCAGGAAAAACAATTACATACATGAAAATAACCTTGATGCATCGGAATGAAACACACAAACTATCTTCCGTGGCTATAGTGATATGTCACAGTAACGGTCAACCACAGAAAAGTAAGTCCAGTGGGGCATAAGTTGAATACATATATAACATTTGTACATTGTTCTTAATGTGATCTGTATAGTAGCTTTGATAGCGGTCATACCTTCAGACAGCCTAAAAGTAAAACACAAGTTGTTTATTCGCAGCCCGAAAGCAGCAACGAGATGACTGGATCATCTGCAGTGTTGGGCAAGTTACTTCCAAAATGTAATACAATTACTTATTACTGTCTTTTTTAAGTAATAGCCTACGTTACATTACAATATTACTGTCTCTTAAATGTAATGAGTTACACTACTTTTATATTAGCCTACTTTTGAGTTACTTTACCAAAAGAGCATCAGGACTGTTTGAGGCATATGATAGCTATGTGATTAACATGATGATTCAGCCTCTATGGAGATGGACATATGACAAGCATGATCATTTCTGACGTGGAGCTAATCTGAAGTAAACATTGAATACTGCTTTCTATTCCTCCATCTTGTGACTGTGTAACTCCCTCTCTTGGATATCAGCATGTGAAGGACACTGTTCAGGAACTAGTTGATGCTCTGTATGTGACGACTACTTCCATTCTGGAGAGGATCACAGACACATGGATCCTGAGGTTGAAGCTCAAGCCTGTGACGAGTGAGATTGTTCTAACAATTTCCAATAAAGGTTATTCTGAAACATAACTATCACTGTTATCTTTCCTTCTATAACGGTAATGTAGGCCAAGCTAATGTTCCTTGTTCTCATTCATAACACTCCGTTCGATGTCTCACTATGGGATGCGCCTCATCGCGGAGCAAACAGAAGCATCAATCTCATTACGCCAATCCTGATTGGCTGGAGATCTTGACGTCAGCGTCAGGGAATTCACCCCCTATAAGTAGCTTGCGCCACAACGCATGCGCAATTCAAACACCTCTTCTCGCTTCAGAGCACATCTCTATGGTAGCCGGACAAGCTTCACGGTCCACAGACTGAACCCAAATATCCATTTCGGTCGACGGGCGCTTGCCGGCTACTCCTTCTGCTTCGCAGGAAGACGGTAATTACTAACGCTAGTTATTGTTGAAATCGACCTCGCCGCTCTCTTTCCCCGGAAAGTAAGCTAGGTCTGATTTTTTCAAGCTAGCGTTAGCTTGCTCCCTCACTACCGACACCACGGTAGCGAGGAAGTCTTTTCTTTTCTCTTCCCCACGGAGGAGGAAAGGATTAAAAGGAGCATACTGCCACACCAGTCAGTATTCTCTGGGAATAAAAGACCCACACCGTCCTTTTCTCCGGATTAAGGACAGGGTGGTTACCTCTTTTTCTCCCAACCTACCTGTTGAGAGCGGGTCCTCTCCACGCCACGAGGCGAACAAGATGGACGCCCCTCTCCCTCACACCAGAGGAGTCAGGGACTCGGTGGCTCGACTCGGTGGCTCGACTCTGCGGCTGCGGGTTGAAGATCTCGGGCACAGACACACACCAGGTCTGCTCGTCCTGCCTCGGGCTGGAACACGCCCGAGGCGCTATCGACAACCCCGGCTCGTGCGGACATTGTGTCCGCTTCACCGTAAAGAGCCTCCGCCAACGGCTAGCACGCCAAGCTAGCCTGTCGGAGCAGGACCCCCCCCATGTCCTCTGACCTGCCGGCCGGCAGTCAAGACGCGGGGGCATCTGCCACAGAGAGTGAACCCCTCTCCATGTCGGTCTGGGGCTCAGTATCTGCGATGGCCGCAGAACCGGATTCCCGCGCCCTGGCAGGCCGGGACCCGGTGGCGGCAAGACACGCGGGAACGGGACCCCACGCTTTACCGAGCTGGGGCTCCCAGTTAGACCTCACCATGGTCTCACCCGCGGAGGATGTCCTCGAGCTGGATTACGACGAGGACGAAGAGGACGCCTCGGTGTTCCTCCTGTCCGAGTCGGATGAACATGAAGAGGACATCTTCATGTCATCGGCTCAGGCTGCAAAGCCTGAAGCGAGGGCTGCTCTCCCAGACGATAGCATACCAGCTTCGCCCTGTCTGAGTATGGACCTGCAGGCCGTGTGCAAACGCGCTGCGGCCAGACTCGACATCCCGTGGCCTGAAATGGCCAAGGAGACCTCCAGGTCCCGCTACGAAGGGAAACATTTTCCCCAAGCAGCGCGGACAAAGAGACAACTCCTTCCGGTCTTCCCGGAGATGTTGGATAAGGTGTCGGTCTCGTGGAGAGACCGGCCCTTCAGCAACAAGGTCCCAATCCAGGGTGCCTCCTCCCTAGACTGTGACGGAATGGAGAAGCTCGGCCTGCTCCGCATACCGCCCATGGAACCGCTGGTAGCAGCCCACCTCCTACCGAGGATGGGCCCGTCACCAAGCAGGAACCCCACGCTGCCGGCAAAGTCGGACCGATTTCAGTCGACAATGACTGAACGGTCCTACAAAGCCGCAGCGTTGTCCGCCAGGGCCCTGAATGTGGCCTCGCTGCTAACCGCTTACCAAGCGGAGCTCTGCGAGGACCTGTCGGGTAACCCGGGTGCAGCCACTCTGGACGAGATGGCGGCGGTCACAGACATCTGTCTCCGTGTCCAACGCTGCGCCGTCCAGGCCACGAGTAAAGCAATGGGGATCATGGTGGTGCAGGAAAGAGCGAGATGGCTCAACCTCACCAACCTCCCAGACCGGGAAAAGGAGGATGTGCTGGATATGCCTATCGTTCCCGAGGGAATTTTCGGCTCCGCTCTTGCTTCCATGCAAAGGAGGTATGAGTCGAAAAAGAGGGAGGACGAGGCACTC